CTATAGGAGGTGTCTGTGCTCAGCCTTTGGCCAGCGTCTGTGAGCACGGCCACTGAGCAACCCTTAGAGGCCAGTGAGACACGGAAGAGGCGACACAAAGAGGGTGCCAGAGGGGTGACCGGCCCCCTCAGAAGAGATAGGGGCAAATGCAGATTGACTGAGTGATGTGACTTTGGCCTGTGAGGAGGTCAGCCAAGGACTACCAAGGACAGGTGGGTCTGACCTCTGAAGGGAGATATTAGACATCTGGTAGGGAGAGCAACTGGATACTTAATAAGGAACTGCCCTGGTGCCTGGACTGAACTGCCCTGGTGTGGACAGCAGACAGTGCCACAGCAGCATCCCCAGAGGCCGTGTGGCCTGGTGGCCCTGCGTGTCACCTTGACTTGACTTACACTTGAGCCTTGCCTTCCTCTGAGAGACTCTGGAGTTTTGTATTCATGACATGAGGGTAAGTGATCTCTATCTTTTGTGATTGCTTTGAGTATTTTAGAGATAATGTGTAGGGTGACTGTTTGGCCCAGTGGCTAAGATACCACCTGGGACACCTGCATCCCACCTGAGAGTGCCTGTGTCCCAGACCCAGCTCCGATGCCAGCCCCGCCTCCTGCTGAGGCTCACCTTGGAGGTAACTGGAGATGGCTCAAGTGACTGAGCCCCCGGCACTTACTGAGACTGAGATTCTGCCTTCCGACTTCCTGACCCAGTTTGGCTGTTGTATATGGATTTGGAAAGAGCAGAGCAGATAGACGGTCTCTCTCTGCCTTTCAAATAAATAGATATTTAAAATGTTAAAAAAGGGCCAGAGCCATATGGTAGTAGGCTAATCCTCCACCTATAGCGCCAACATCTCATATGGATGCCGGTTGAAGTCCTGGCTACTCCACTTCCCTTCTAGTTCTCTGTTCCTGTGCCTGGGAAAGAAGCAGAGGATGGCCCAAAGCCTTGGGACCCTGCACTCACTTGGGAGACCTGAAGGAAGCTTCTGGCTCCTGGCCTTGGATTGGCCCAGCTCTGGTCATTGTGACCATTTGGAGAGTGAGCCAGCAGATGGACATTCTTTCTATCTTTACTCTCTGTAACTCTGGCTTATTTAAAAAAAAAAAAAAAGGTGAAAGATACTACATAGCGCAGGTGTTAGCAGTGGCTGCTGTTGCTGTGTGCCCTGTCACATAGTGAGGGAAACCTGCCCAGGCCGCTCCTAGGCTCCCGCAGTGCACGAAGTCTCTGGTAGGCATGGTGGCTTTAGGAGGAAGAGATGAAAATTAGTATTATCATCAAAACAAATAGCCAGTGTCTACAGGGAAGCCCCATCGTCTCCTGTTGTTCTGTGACCACGTGCTGACTGCTGTCAGGTGTCACTGCTTTTCAGGGTTCATCTGACACCAAGGCTGAATGCTCTCCACAACCTGACTGCCCGTGTGAAGATGTCTGTTGGCCAAAAACAAAACAAACGACCAAAACCACCTTGAACCAAGAAGTTAAATGACAAATGTGGAACGCATACTTGAAATATATACACAAATTACTAATGTCTTTACAAAATCAGTTTAGAAGTAGTATTCCCAAAGAAAAAAGGACCAATGAGGAATATAAATAACCATTCAATTTCTTTTTTTTTTAATTATGGAAAACATTTTGAACATATTTGGTATTAGACTAATATACTGGATTCCGTGTACCTATCTTGCAACTTCAGGTTTTACCAACTCCTAGTCAATATCCTTGAAACCTTTTTTTTTAAGATTTATTTATTTTTTATGGGAAAGGCAGATACACAGATAAGAGGAGAGACAGAGAGGAAGATCTTCTGTCGGATGATCCACTCCTCAAGCGGCCGCAACAGCTGGAGCTGGAGCTGCGCTGATCCAAAGCCAGGAGTTAGGAGCTCTTCCGGGTCTCCCACACGGGTGCAGGGTCCCAAGGCTTTGGGCTGTCCTTAACTGCTTTCTCAGGCCACAAACAGGGAGCTGGATGGGAACTAGTGCTGCCGGGATTAGAACTGACGCCTATATGGGATCCTGGTGCATGCTAGGTGAGGACTTCAGCTGCTAGGCCACTGCGCCGGGTCCTAACATTTTTTTAAAAAAAAAACTGGTTTATTTAGTTGAAAGGCAGAGTAAGAGAGGGAGGGGAAGTGAGAAAGAGATTGATCATCCATTTGCTAGTTCAACCTCCCCAAAGGCCCATGTGACTGGCCAGGGCTGGTAAGACCCATTTGTGGAATGCAGGTTGCCTGCTGGCCAAACACCTGCCCTTGTCTTGCCTTTTGCCTATTTTGATTCTGGAAATTTATCTTAAGGAAATAATAATAATGTCGACATAAGTTTATACTCAGAAATATTCATTGGATTGTTATGTATCATAGATGTTAAAGGACTTGAGGTCCATATCAGGAAAAAAAAAATGATACAACTATCCAGCAAACAAGATATGGGGCATTCATGATAAATATGTTGAAGAAGAAAAAAATAATATTGGAAGACAAATATCACATTAAATGAAAAAGTTTCATAAAACAATGTGGTCCCAAATATGTTGAAGAACTATAGATATGTATAGAAAAAGTGTTACAGCGAGGGGAAGGCACTGTGGGGCAGCCAGCTGAGCCTCTGCCTGGGTCACTTGCATATCATGTGAAAGTGGCTTGTGTCTCGTTTCTGCTTCCAATCCATCTTCTGTTGCTGTGCACCCTGGGAGGCAGCAGATGAGGACTCAAGGGCTTGGGTCCCTGCTGCCCACACAGGGGATGGCGCAAGTGCATGAGAGGCCTGGATTGAGTTCTTGGCTCCTGGTTTCAGCCCAGCCCAGCCCCAACTGTTGTGGACATTTGGGGAGTTAACCTGCAGATGGACGATTAATATGTGTTTACCTTTCGAATAGATAAAACTTTAAAAAAAGGAAAGAAGTTCCCTTTAATGTATTGGAATGGCTGTGTAAGGGCGACTTTTACTTTGTACTTTTGTCCCAGGTATTTTTATGACAGGGAAATACCACTACCAATGCGGGGGAATGCACAGGAGATGCAGGTGCTGGCGGGAAGGCTGTGTGATGTGGCCATCCTGAGGCTCTGTTCTTCCCTGTTGGAGAGAATTTTTTTTTTTTGATGTTGATAAGAATGTTGCAGGCAGGGAGAGGCAGGCCCTCCGGCAGATCTGGAAGGCTTCTGTCCTTATCCTTACCTAAGGGCCAGGGTCTCATTCTAGGACCTTCAAGGATGGAGCATTCTTGATATTGTGCTGGGAGGCCGGGTGGGTCCTGTCTGGCCTTTAGCCTGGGACAGGGTTAAAGCAAAGGAAGGGGCTTGCTTCCATGCTGTCCTCTTTTCTGGAGCATTCCTTAGTCCTGTTGAGAAGTTCCAGACCCTCTTTGTGCCCAGGGTTGGCTGCAGCAACTGCGTGTTTACCTGGCTTCAGTGTGTACTGCTCCGCAGCCTGGGCTGTAAGCCTTCTCTAACGGCTTTCTTCCCCCGCCCCCGCTGGCTTCCCTTCTTCCACAGAATGTTGAGCTAATTGGTCAGTTCTTGGCGTGGATATGGCCACAGAGGCGTCTCCTCTACAATAAGGCTGCTTAGCTGGAGTCACCAGCAGGGAGCAGCCCACATAGCTGAGTGGCATGTCCTGAGTCTGCACACTGGGGAGGCAGGTGCACAGGAGGAGAACCGGGCACTGTCAGTGCTAACCTGGGTGTGCCAGGCACACAGGAACACATCGCATTTCCTTTGTCTCCTTCTGGAAGGAATTTCTGAATGACCCTGGGTCCCCTCTGTCCTTCCCTGAGAAATCGAAGAGGCCTGCTATACTCAGGCAGTTAAAAAAGAGCCCTTTGTGTGTTTGCACGTTTTGAGGGGAGCCTGTTGACGACCCCTATCCTTATGCCAGTGGCTCGCACACTGTGGATTTGTTCATATTCCCTTTACATTAGTTATTTTGAAGGATGGAGAAAGGTAAAAACAGCCAGCCAGGAATCTTCCACCTGCTGATTCCCTCCCCCAAAGTATGCAAAAGCCAGAGCTGGGCCAGGCTGAAGCCAAGAGCCATGGTCTCAGACCAGGTCTGACAAGGGGGTGGCAGGGACCCAGGTACTTGAACCCTTGGCGCCTGCCTCCCAGGGCAGGCATTAGCAGGAAGCTGGATAGGAAGTAGAGTAGCCAGAACTCAGATATGTGACCCCGGCAGCCCAAGAGGCAACCTAACCCTGTGCCAAACACCCTCCTCCACATGCCTAACTAATCCCAGGATTCCAAAGCAGCTTCAGTCTGTCTGCAGAATAGTGCAGGCGTCTCGGCAATCAGTTATGTCACCCCAAATAGAAACCCTGTATACATCAGCGTCCATATCTGATTGTTGCCAGTACCTTTCCCAGCCTACTACGAGACTCTCTCATAGTGAGAGATCTGGCCAGGCCTGGATTTCTTTGGAGTCACTGAGGAGTCAGCCTCGACGTGGCGCCCGTGGGGCCCCTCTCACTCTGTACCAGCGTTGGCAGATGTGAGCCTCTGAGGGTGACCTCACTGGGAGCAGAGCCTGTGCCCTTTCCAGGTGGGAAGAAAATCCCCTCCTTGTCCTTGGGAATCTGGGAGCAGGTATCCCAGACTGGCCCCTCCACAGCCCTCAGGGGGCTGCAGGGTTCTGATCAGCACCTTCTAGTGACCTGGTCACTCTCAACCCAGAGCAGCTCTGCCAGCGCCTGCTCCCCTGGGGACACCATTGCTTTTGTTGTTTGTAAATCGACACACTTAACCCCAGTTGGACGTCACCGGTCTCCTCTGTCTGAAGGGTGCCTGCGGCTCCTCATGCCACTGGCTTGCCTCCCAGGGGAGGCTTGCAGAGAGAAGAGCTGGGACGCTCACCCCCCCACAAAGGCCAGCACCATGCCTTCCTTCATTGTCCCCGGCCCCGCTCATCAGCCTTAACCCAGGCAGGCAAAACTTCTTTGAGCAGTTAGTGCCCAGGGCGCCTGTACTCTCTCCACTGAGGTCTCTCCTTCTCGTTCTCCAGCTGCCCAACATGTTCGGTGACCTTCGCTCCACCTTTATTGCCCTGATGATAGGCTCCTACGCCTCCTCGGCCGTCACCTTCCCAGGGATCAAGGTAAGCGTGTGCACGTGCCTTTGACACATTTGGCTGAGCAGAGGCCCTCAACAGGCTATCTCAGCCCCTCAGCACAGAGAAGTAACTAGTCACCCCAGGGGTTGGAGGGGCTTCTGTGTCACGCCCACCTGGACAGGATGCACCTGGGCATCACCGGCAGCAGCCCAGAAAAAACGGGTGAGTTCCTTGCTGCAGGTGTTCCTGCCCACAGGCCAGGGCGGAGGTGGGGGAGCTGTGTCTGGCCAACGCTCATGCTCACCCCGCCCCCAAGCCTGTTGTTGTCTGGCTGCTGCTCCCCAGCACAAGAGCTCTGCCTTCAGCCAAGTGGGTGCAGATGTTTCCCTTGCTGGCAGCGCCCCCTCCCCCAGCAGCAGCCCCAGGTCCAAACCCTTCCCTTGGGGGTGTGAGTGCAGGGGAGGGTACCAGTGAGGAGAGGTGGAGGTCTGGTCTCGCTCCTGCCCACCAGGCCCACACGGGGGCTGCACTAAGGCCACACCTCCATAGTCCCTCGCCCTGTGCTCCCCGCACCGGAGCACACAGTCCAGGGATAGCTTCTTTCACGAAGAGCAAAGGGAGACACATCCTATTTCTTCCTCAGGGGTATTTTCAACACCTACCAGACATGGGGAGACCTCAGTTTGTAGGAAAGTGGAGTGAAAAAGAGAAGTTTATTTTGACATAAAATGATTTTGAAGTCCACTCATAGTTTTTACATCAGATGCATTTCCATGAACTTTTTGAAGGCGCTCCATATCCCTCCAGGTGGGCAAGGCTGGCAGGTGCCTGCCCTTATTGTGCTAGAGAAACAACAGACAAGCAGATGAGTCATGAGGCTCGGGATCTGCCCAGCCTAGCCACTAGGCACCAAGAGACAAAGTCGTGACAGCCATGGTTAGCCTCTGCAAGGTGGTGACGTTTGATCCTGGCAAAAGGCATAGAGATTACTATTGTGCCAGGCAGGTAGCTGGCAGGTGCGGACGAGCTGCAACTAATGCCATGCAGGGTGTTTGGTGACCAAGCAGATGGGCTGCCAGGCCTGTACCTCTTTGTGCAGCTCAGGGTGAAGGACCGCCAGGTTGCCCCTCGGCTTGCTGCCTACTTCTGCTAACTCTACCCTTCCTCCCGACCCTGCCCCATGGTGCCGTCAGCTCATCTATGACTCCGGAGTTTCATTCATCCTCATCCTGGTGGTCTGGGCTGCGTGTTCTGGGCTGGTGTTCCTGAACTGCTTCTTCAACTGGCCTTTGGAGCCTTTCCCTGGTCCGGAGGACATGGACTACTCGTAAGTAGACACGCTGTCCTACCCCGTCCACACTGCAGCCAGGGTCCCAGGCGGGGCTAGTGCCTGTTCTTCTGTGGCTTGCAGGGTGAAGATCAAGTTCAGCTGGCTGGGCTTTGACCACAAGATCACAGGGAAGCAGTTCTATAAGCAGGTGACCACGGTGGGGCGCCGGCTAAGTGTAGGCAGCTCCATGAGGAGCGCCAAGGAGCAGGCGGCCCTGCAGGAGGGCCACAAGCTGTGCCTGTCTACTGTCGACCTGGAGGTGAAGTGCAAGCCGGATGCCACAGGTACCCACCCTTGCAGCTGCTGCCTTCTGGGGCTCTGTTGGTGTCTGCAAGAGTCAGCTGAGGCTCTGGGGGCATCATCTTCCTGCATCTCCACCCGGAAGGGGAGGCGACCAGGCCCAAAGGGGTTAAGGGGAATCTGTCCTCCAGCACCTGCCTATCAGCCGCCCATGCCCTTGGATGGCAGGTGGCAGTGGACCTGGCCCTGAGCACCCACCTTCTCCCCCACAGCGGCCCCCTCGTTCATGCACAGCGTGTTCAGCCCAATCCTGCTGCTCAGCCTGGTAACCATGTGTGTCACGCAGCTGCGCCTCATATTCTACATGGGGGCTATGAACAGCATCCTCGAGTTCCTGGTCAGTGGCGACCAGAAGACAGGTAGGTGGGCCCTGGGCCTCGGGGCATGGCTCCAAAGGAGGGCGCTGCTGGCCGCTGGGTGGGAGCTACGCCAGCCTTCCAGGCTGATAGCAGCAGTGTGCCAGGCACTCTTTGTTCATCAGGGAGGTTTCGTCACTGCCAGCCCCGCCTGTCCTTTCGTGTCCGCATCAGGGTGTCCCCGTGTAGGAGGCAGGGAAGGACTGAAATAGCTCCATGTGCATCTTCCAGCTCTGGAGGGGGTGGTAGACGTGTCTACTAACAGGAGCCCTGCAGAGTCCTCTGGGCCCTGGGCGTCCCTGCGTCCTCATGTTCCATTGAAGCAGGGAGAGCTGGAGGCTCCCAGGAGTGTGGGCCAGCTGAGGCTTGCTGACTCCGGGCAGCTGAGCTGATAACCCACACACGCTTTCCCCAAACAACACAGGAGGCCGATAGCTGAGGGCACCCACAGGGAAAGTCTGCTTCCCTGGGCCCAGGCTGAGTCAGCGTTAGTCAACCGCAAGCGGGATGAACACTGGGCTGTTCCCTCCCACCGTTGGTTCCGCTGCAGAGCAGCTGCTCTGGAGCTGCTCACTAGCTTGACCCGGGGAGGGATCAGATGTCAGCTGTTCCATGGGGTGAGACAGCCAGCTTTCCCTAAAGGACCAGGTCACATAGGTTCTACTACAAAGATGGGGCTGGTAGGGGCATGAGGTTGAGAAGCCTGCTGCTGTGGGTTCCTGTGGAGAAAAACACCACTGAGAGAGAGAGAGGAAGATCTTGCATGTGCTGGTTCAGTCCCCAGATGCTGGGGTTGGACCAGGCAGGCTATGGCCTGGAGCCAGGGACTCGATCCAGGCCTCTCATGCACTTGAGCCGTCACCTGCTGCTTCCCAGGGTGTGCAGAAGCAGGAAGCTGCTCAGTTGTGGAGTGGGTACTTGAACTTGGAACAGGGACTTGAACCCTCTGATAAGACATGCTGTTGTCCCACGTGGCAGCCTAGCCACTGTGCCAAATGCCACTGCCCACACCATTAGCTTTGTTTAGACCAGCAGCATCCCCCCAAGTTTCTGCTAGAAGGACCCCCTTTTTTGGGGGCTCTCAGATCTGTGGGGCATCCTGTGGAGAGAGCTGGCCTAGCCTATGTCAACTCCCCTTGTTGAAGCCACTTAGCCCCAGGTGGCTGGGGGCCGCCCCCGTCCCCGTTACTCCTGAAGGTGCCCCTCTTGCCCCAGAGCTGTGCTATTTTACTACAAGTCTCAGAAATCTTGCTGTCCAAGAGGACCGTTTGTCAGTGCCTTCCTGTATTCAGAGTCAGCTTCGAGAAGTAGAGGAAACGAGGCCAGGAAGTTTTGTGCTGTGGCAAGAAGAGGGCTGGTTTTCCCCTGCTGCTCCCGTGACCCGTGGTCAGTGGACCAGTGCCTGGCTGGGCCCTGCATGATGGGGTCATGGGTGGAGGAAGGGCACAGCTCTGGTGGCCCAGGTGTCCTAGGCAGACTCCTTGTCCTTGCGTCTCATGCACATGTGAGATTGCCACTAGGAAAGATTTGCTGAAATGAGTGTGCAGCACTGGGGGGAGGGCGACACCTCCTGAGAGTGGGGACTCTGCCCCGGCCAGATCTTCTGCAGGCAACATGCCACTGCCACGGCCTGGGGCCAGGCCAACACCAGTCACTGATTCACCAGCTGCACAGTTCTGGGCCGCCGGCAAGCAGGAGGATGTCAACAGGGCCTCAGACAGCCCAGCCCTACTGGCCTCACCTCTGCTCCCAGAGCAGGGTTTGGATGCAAACATAGGTGCTGGGCCCCAGGCTCACACCCACTTCGCCATCTCTGCACAATAACATGGCCACTTCTCCAGTAACCTCTATATTCTCTCTGCTTTTATTGCCTTTGCTTCCTTGGAGCAGTGATGGCCACTGGTGAGTAGAGGGCTTGTGTGGATGTGGCTCAGGCCCTTCCCACCTGGCTCTGTTTAGCCAAAAGCCCCTGGTCTTGAGCCCTGGATGATTGTCTGGGCAAGTGGGGTGGGGGTGGAGTAGAGCAGTCCGCTTCACTGGGACTGACGTCAGAGGCTTGCCTGCTGCGTGGAGCGGCAGAATGCTAATTGCCTCGCACAAAGGCCCAGTCATGAGACCCGGTAATGAGCATTGGTAATTCTGTGATTCCCAAGTCGTGGCGACTTCTTGGAGCTTCTGGGGAGGTCATTTATTGTGACACACTGGCTTTCATTAGCCACTTTTCAGAAATAAGCCAGGGAGTGGGAATCTGGAGTGGGGATCAGAGGACCTGCTGCTCACCCTGCCTGTGGTTTCTGGGCTTCCCTCCTGGCCACTCTGGTCAAGGCCCTGGGGACTGGAGCTCCCTCCGACCTGGCAGCCTTGGTGACGTGGCCCTCTTCTCCACAGTGGCCCTCTACACGTCCATCTTTGGCGTGCTGCAGCTGCTGTGCCTGCTGACCGCACCTGTTATTGGCTACATCATGGACTGGCGGCTGAAGGAGTGTGAGGACGTCTCCGAGGAGTCTGAGGACAAGGATGCCAGCCAGTGCGTAGCTGGCCGGCCCTGGAGAGCCCGGGCAGTGGGCAGGGAAAGCTGGGCGGGTGGGTGCTTCCCCCTGCTTAAGATTTATTTGAAAGTCAGAGTTATAAAGAGAGATCTTCCCTCTTTTGGTTCACTCCCCAAATGGCTGCGATGGCTGAGTCGGGGAAAGACTAAAGCCAAGAGCCAGAAGCTTTTTGGATGCCCACATGGGTGCTGGGGCCCAAGGGCTTGGGCCATCCTCTGCTGCTTTTCCAGGCACATTAATAGACAGCTGGATTGCAAATAGAACAGCCTGGGGTTGAACCAGTGCCCATATGGGAGGCCAATATCATAGGCAGCAACTTGACTCGCTGTGCCACAGTACTAGCCTGGGTGAATTTTGTTGTTGGCAGGAGAGACAAGTGTGTCTGAATGCTGTTGTTGCGAGTCCTTTAAGATACTTGCTCAGCCAGCTGGTACGTGTGTGAGGTCTGGTCTCTGGGGCGTCCTGGAGCACTGATGCTTGGGTCATGCTGTATGGAGGAGTGGGAGAGCCTGTGCAGGTCACAGATAGCCAGCAAGTGCTGACTAAGTGGCCACCATGGAACCCAGCCTAGGCTGTCACAACTGCCTTCTTTGGTTTCTTGCTGATCATGTGGCCTAGGTAAAGTCCTGGAGCCCTGCCGTGTGTGAGAGCTGGGTCCTCGGGTCAGAAGCCAAGTCCAGAGCCGGCTCTCCCGCCCCTGCTCAATGTCTCAGGCCAGGGATCCTGTGTACTGTGCCTAACTAAGCTTCAGTGGGGTCTGTGTGAGCACTGCACTTGTTCTAAAGGTCAGGTGCTGGAGCTGGGACACGCTGGGAGGAAGTGGCTCTGAGCTCTTGTCACCCCTCCCTGCAAGCACAGGTGGGGTGTCGGCGTGGGTGGGATTGTTAACTCACTAGGAAGTAATTACAAAGTGTGTGTTGTTATCCAGATCGGGCTGGCTGGCGCAGAGGAGACTAGTGCCCATTCCGGTTCCATCTCCTACATGTTCATTTCCCCTGCACCCTCTCCTGTCCCCCAGGGAAACCCATCCATTCCTGGATTTGACTTCCCTGTCAGGCCCATGATTCACTTCCTGTGTGGTTGGGGTGAAGCAAGGGATGGTGGTGTGGGGAGGCTTTGGGGTATCCCTGCCCAGACATGTGCCCTTCCACCTTTGCTGACACAGCACCATGTGTCAGAGCATCTTCCTGCTCAGTAGAGAAAGAGGCCGGGGGTAGGATCTCCAGGACCCGTCTGGCCCCCCACCCCACATGGCCCCCAAAATGCACTCGGGTGGCTTGTGAGTCAAGTGTCAGTCTTCAGGCCGGGACCCCCAAGGCCTGACTTCCTGGGCGGTTCCCACTGCTGAAGAGAGTACCCCCTGATCCCCAGTTTCTGTGCATGCTCCGTGTCTCCACAGAGGCGAGAAGAAGAAGCAGCGGGATCGGCAGATCCAGAAGATCACCAACGCCATGCGGGCCTTCGCCTTTACCAACCTGCTGCTGGTGGGCTTCGGGGTGACCTGCCTCATTCCCAACCTAAAGCTTCAGGTGGGTGGCAGACAGTGAAGGGAAGGGGCGTGGGGTGTCGCCAGCCAGTTAACAAAGCTCTGTGCTCAATTGGAACTGACTATGGAGGGAACCCGACTCTCTTCCCTAGAGACCTGCCCCGGTGCCTGGTGAAGATGCATTGTACCCAAGCTTTTGGCCACCTGGTAGGCTCTGCGCACCCTGGCCTGGAGCTAGGTCAGGTGGCCCAGTGTGGGAACTTGTTTTGGGGTCAACCCCACCTGTGGTGTAGCACGGGGTTTCTGCCCTGACAGACTGCTGGCTTAGTATTGGTGATCAAGATCTTCCTACCTTGGCAAGGGTTTTTGATGACTTTGAAACCCAGAGTCTGGCAAGGTTGAGAATAAGGCTGATTTTGTCACCTGTCCAACTCTACCTTTAGGACAGCGAAAGTGGTCTGGCAGTAGGTTTGGGCCCCAGTCTCCAAATGTGTAAGCCTAACAGGGACAGGAGTGATGGCACTGCTTCCAGGTAGGTGTGACCCGAGGCCAGATGGTATCTCAGACCAAGTCCTACAAGAAAATAAGTGCCCCTCCCTTTTGACGCGTGCCTGGGTGTTGCGATATGGTGAACACCCAGGTGTGCACCACCCACGGGCACTGTCACCTGTGTGTGTCAACAGCGGCTGCAAGCAGCTTGTTCCAGGTTTGAGAGTGGGAGTGTTGCCACATCCTAGTGATCTTCTCTTGGGTTACTCTCCTTGTGTAGCTGGCAGATTCTGGCCCTGACCACCTTGTCGCATTCGGGGGCACAGGCACCCACTTTTTGTCTTAGTTCTCACTGAAGGCAAAGCTGAGAAAACACAGCACTGGGCATGGTGAGGGGACAGGGGAGCCCATATATGTGCGAGTATGCATCCGGCATGGTCCTCTTTCAGCTATTTCAGAAGCAGGCCACCTGCATTCTAACAAGCCAGTGCCTGCTGCTGAGCAACATGACAGGACCAGGTACAAAGGACAAGCTCAGGGTCCCAAGTGGGCCTCTCGAGGGCTTCTGGGCAGCTTGGCTGGGGCGATGACAACTCCCTGTTGGCAGGGCTGGGCCACCCGGCAGGGTCGCTCGGGCAGGCAGAGGCAGGAGGTAGAGGTGATGGTTTTTGGGCTCTCACTCTGTGCTCTGCCCTTTGCTGTTTATCTGCAAATCCATAGTGGGGCATGCACCTGGGGGAGGCGCCTGGGGGTCACACATCTCCCTTTTGGGAGGTGCTGACCTCAAGCCAACAATATGATGTCACCGAGACTGGGGGAGGCCCAGGTTGCAGGGGTAGTAGCCTTCGGAACACAGGCAACACTGAAGAACTAAGCACAGATGGGTTTTGAGTGCTTGTTGCTTTATTTTGTTTGTCCTTAGGAGTAATATGTTATTTCAAAGCCAGATTTCATCCACTTCCCAAATAGCACCAATATTGAGGGTACAGGAGCTTGGAATTCTGGTTCTCTCACGTGGGTGCAGGGACTCAGAGACTTGGCCCTTTTCCACTGCTTCCCCAGGCACATTAGCGAGGGGTAGGATGGGAAGTGGAACAGTTAGGATTTGAAGTGATACTTGTATAGGATGCTGGTGGCACGTGGGGTAGCTTGGCTTGCTACGGCGCGATGTCAGTCCCAATCCTCATTCTGATGCTATTTCCTTGTAAGTTTGTACAATTTAGTTTTCTGAAAGAGTCTTTTGTTTATTTGAAAGATTAAGTGAGAGGAAATACCAGTAGGATTGGACAAATCATTGCAGTAGCTGGGGTAGCAGAGGCCGAAGTGCTTGGACCGTTGTTTGTTGTTTTCTCAGGCACATTAGCAGGAAGCTGGATAGGAAGCAAAGCAGCCAGGATTCAAACCAATGCTCCGATATGGGAAGCTGGCATTATAGGCTTAACTCACCATGCCACAACAGCAGCCCCTGTGTAATTTGGTTTTCATTAATGACTGTTTGGGGCTGGCCTTGTGGCATTAGTGGTTGAAGTTGTCTCCTGTGATGCCAGCATCCTGTATGAGTACAGTTCAAGTCCTGGCTGTTCTACTTTAGATCCAGCTCCCTGCTAACCTGCCTGGGAAAGCTGCAGAAGATGGCCACAGTTATTTGGACCCTTAATGGGAGACCTGGCTCCTGGCTTTGGTCTTGCCCCCCTCAGGACTGTCGTGGCCATCTGGGGAATGAACCAGTGGGTAGAAGATTCTCTTTCTCTCTGTCTTTAAAGAAAATAAATAAATTCTTAGGGAAGAAAAAAAAAAGACTAACTACTGGCTCAAAAAATTCCTGAAGGTTCAGCAGACATCTCTGAGGAGCTGGTTCAGGCATCCCCAGGTTGTCATGGCTGTTGCCCAGGACACCTGGAGTTGGATGGAGGATGGAGTTGAGGCCAGGCAATGGATCCTGCTCACACTCTCTTCTCTCTCCTTAGATACTGTCCTTCATTCTTCACACGATCGTGCGAGGGTTCATCCACTCGGCTGTCGGAGGCCTCTATGCTGCCGTGTAAGTCCTGAGAGCTATGGGATCAAGTGAGCAGGCTGAGGCTGGGTCCCTGGGGTGTCGCTGGTGGGACCAAGGACCAGAGGTCAGGGCTAGGTGGCTCCAGCAGGGCTCGTCCTTGTGGACCAGAAGCCAGGGCCGGGGTTCCTGCTTGCAGGAAGATGTTTCAGTGGGCAGACAGCTGGGTGCTCTTAGGCCTTAGTGATTCACAGGAATCAAGCTGCTGGCCTGGCCAGTGCCCCCGGGGCAGTGCATTATGGCCTCAAGGGCCATTGCTCAGCCGTGTCCCAGGCTTGCCCAGGTCTCTGTGGTGCGATCAGACGGCTATCCGCAGAGCTCGGACCATGCATCACTGAGCCCCAAACATGCTAGGGTCCTGTCCCCGAACTATTCAGGCCACAGCTGAAATGCAGCCACCTTTTGCCGAAAGGCTACACATTCCGCAGGAACCACACTGTCCCTCCCTTGGCCCAGGGCCTGATTCCCAAACCAGAGCTGACACTGGGTGAGAATGACTCGCAGCCGCCCTGCCTCTGGGGCAGCAGAGCCCGCTCTTGGCCAAGATACATCCCAGAGCTCTCCCTGTCCCTGTAGCATCCCACGGGGTCATCCCAGGTCCACTGGCCCCCGCCTGGCTCCCACGGGCCCGGAGGAAGTGGTGGCTGCCCTGGCTGGGCCTGGGGGAATCGGGCAGGAGCTGTGATGCTGAGTTTCCGTGATTGCACAACACTCCTCTGGCCTAGAGCACTGCAGAGCCTGGCCAGCCTCCGAGCTGCTCACGGGGCCCACTTCCTGAGCCGCACGCTCCGGGCTGGCATTGTGCTTCCTGCTCAGCCCAGCCAGACACCCACAGGCCCAGGGCACCCCTGGTCAGGGCTTGCCCTCCTCAGAGTCTGGGGAGCCCCCAGGCTGTTCTGAAAGAGAAGCACTTGGCAGACGTACCTGCTTGTCAGCAAGAACACCAGGCGCTGGCACCCCATCCTGTTGGCTGCTCCTGTCTCTCCCTTCATCAGTGCCTCGGGTACAGCCTGGGCCCCACCTGCAGCCAGGCCGAGGCGAGGAGGGCCCAGGCCTGACGGTCTCAATCCCCCACCACCCCGACAGGTACCCCTCCACCCAGTTCGGCAGTCTCACGGGCCTGCAGTCTCTCATCAGTGCGCTCTTCGCTCTCCTGCAGCAGCCGCTGTTTCTGGCCATGATGGGGCCCCTCCAGGGTGACCCCCTATGGGTAAGGTTTGGCAGTGGGCTGGGAGGCTTCGCTCAAGGTGTGGGAGCTGTGGCTAGCACAAGTCACCTTGCCAATAGCAGACCTGACAGGAGTAGATTGGAGCACCTGCCCCGTTTCCCCATGGCTCTGGAAATGGGATCAACCTGAGATGGGGGCCTGGAAAGCTGGGGAATCCAGCCTGTCCTAGCTTGACCTGGGGGAAATGGAGGGCCCAGTGGCCCACCCCGTGACACACCCCTCCGCCCCACGTCCGCCCACAGGTGAATGTGGGGCTGCTCGCGGTGAGCATGCTGGGCTTCTGCCTGCCCCTCTACCTGGTCTGCTACCGGCGCCAGCTGGAGCGGCAGCTGCAGCAGAAGCAGGAGGACGACAAGCTTTTCCTCAAGATCAACGGCTCCTCCAACCGCGAGGCGTTTGTGTAGCACCGCTGCCCGTGCCTCTCGGACCGGCCCCTGTCCTCCTGCCCGCTCTGCCTGCTCCTGAGGACCTGTGCGCGCTCCAGGACCCTCCTTCACCGGCCGCCCCAGGGCCAGGGCGCTGCCTGAAGCTCTGCAGGGCAGGAGTGCCAGAGGGCTTAGGGGGAGTGCACCCCTGCTGCCAGAAGGGGGGTCTGCCCTGGCTTCACTCTGTCCCTGTCCCACCCCTGCCCGGGGAGCTGGGAGACTCTGGGGCGTCTGTAAGCAGACACTCACCCTCCCGAGCCTGCGTTCCACCTCTTGCCAACGCAGAGGAGTCTGCCACCCACTGCCTGCCACCTGCCCCTTGGCTGCATGCCCACCAGCCACGCCCACCGAGGACAAAGCTTGCTCTGTCTGTACCCCCTTGCCTGGCCTTCACCTCCTCCCCTGGCCAGTCTGAAGTTGCCTGAGGAAGGAAGGACCCACTTCCTGTTGTTGGTGCTAACTCCATTGTAATTCCAGCACCCTGTGGCCTGGATGCAGCCTGGCCTCCCTTTCAAGGCCAGTGGGGAAGTCTGGCAGGGGGCAGGAGGGTGGGCAGGTCATGAAGCACTCCAGGAGCCGAGGATGAGGCCAGCTGGTTGCCCCTCACCTCCTCCCTCTGGGCCTAGAAGCAGGGAGCATTTCCACTGCCACCTCGGTTTGGGGGTCTGCAGCCTGAGGGACCTTCAAGGCAGCCCCTCCCACCCCTTCCCCTCAACTGCTTGGTCCCTGGGGAGTGAGGCCCCGGCTCCCAGAGTCAGAGATCCAAGCAAATGGGTGTGTGAGGGGCAGAGGAGCGTGTGTGCAAGTATGTATGTGTGTATGAGATGGCTGTGGGCCGCGAGAGCTGGGCTCTGGGTGTCTGCAGATGCCCCACCGCCCAGAAGGGAGCCAGCCAGGCTTGCCGCTGGCCGGGCCTCGCTCAGGGCTGCGGGGTCACAGCACCCCCTGCTGGCTGACGGCGCCGGGGTGGGGGACCTGTGCCCGCGGGACAAACTCAGACCTCGGTGCCGATGGGGCTGGGTTGGTGTTCAGGTTTCTTTTAGTTTTACCACACTTCTTTTTTATAAAGCAATAAATCCATTTTGCTCCTGGCAAAGGGACGCCCCCTGCTGGCGTGTCAGTTAACGGCACCCTAGGTCGGGGGATAAAGGGTAAGATGAACTGCCACTGAGCAGTCCCTGGGCAGCTGCCGTCTGGGAACAGTCGGCGGCCAGGGAAGACCTCCCTGTCATGCCTCCCTGGCAGGTCGGGCCTGCACAGGTGCGATCCAACCCCACATCCCATTTATCCCTATTCCTTGGCTCCTGCTCGCGTGTCCTGTCGTCATCCCACAACTCCGAGGGCGACCCTGGGCAGCCACAGGCTCAAAGCAGAACAGCAGCCGTGGGTATGGGCGCGGCTTTGGGATGGACAGGGGCAGAGCCCCAGCTAGCTCTGCAGGCACAGTAGTGGCCCACCCTTAGCCCACGGAACTCCCGAGGCTCCAAACTGCTCATGTGAAACCATCACAGCCCAAGAGGCCAGAGGACCAGGCCCACCGTTCCCGGGATGCTAGTTCTGTGATGTGCTGCCCGCCCGATCACGCTCGCCAGCAGGGGGCGCGCGCTGCTGCCGGAGTGGCTCAGGGCGGGCTCCCTCCACTGCAGCAGCTGCCAGGATGCTTTCTGGCCTAGAGCTGTCAGCCTCACCTACGGTCCTCCCAACCCTCCCCGGGAGGACGAAGAGGACAGGGTCCCTTCTAGGTCGGAACTAGTGTCACAGTTGGGCAGGCACAGCCAGTACTGTCCCTTGTGGTACTCAGACCTAGCCAGAGTGGGAAGTACGGGCTCTTCCTGCCAGCCAGTTGAGGGCAGGAGATTGGCCAGGACCAATGGGGCGTGGAGCTCAGAAGCATCTGAGTGGAAGGGGATCCAGAGGTTGAAGCTAGCCGGATTGGTGCTTTGCCCACTACACCCCTTGTCAGAGACCAGTCCTGCCCTGTGCAGAGGTGACATTTGTACCCATTACCCTTGGGCCCAGCAGTGGTAGCAGGCCTGAAGTTCACTATATAGCATCTTTGTGATTTTTATGCTTGGAAAAGTTTGATACTCAGAGAGGGGCAGTAACTAGCTCCACCTGGAAGCAGGACCGCCCAGAGCCCTCTTGCTGCTGGGGCAGCCGAGATCTTGCAGGCCAGAACTGTCTGCCTGGGCCTCCTGGCTCTAGATCCCTAGGGACCAGGAGTGGGGTGAGCCTGGCCTGGACAGTTGTTTGGTCTTGGAGAATTATAGGGGCCCTCAAGTTGAAGAAGGAACCATGGGCTGCTCCCCGGGAGTGGGCACCAATGGCTATGTTCTCACCGCGACATTCGGCAGGGCGGTTGGCGGGCAGTGCCTGGAGCCCCTCCCCAGTCTCACCAGACCTGGGAGACCGAGTTCCCTGAGGCTTGGCCTTCTCCAAACTTCCAGGCCTCCTCAAGGCCAAGGTTATGTCTGTGCAGTCCATTCTCCTCACCATCATCTCTTGCCAGTAGCATCCTGGTCAGAACTTCTGGAACCCTCCAGGTGGTCCTGGGCTGTGCAGAGTGAGGGAGGCACCCTGTGACCCTGTGGGCCAGGGAGTGCCTGGCGTTGGCATCACTGTCATTCAGACAGGTGGCAGGACTAGGGCCCTCACATGTTAGTCTGCGACAAGGTGAGGGCGAACCGAGGTGAGAGGTACACTCTAGTTCTGGTAGTCCCCACCACTCAGGCTGCAGGGTCCCTAAAAGCAGAAGTTGCCTTGTCTGTGCTAGTGACCAAGGCCCACCTTGTGGCTGGTAGTCTCTTCCCCTCAATACTGTGCTGCTAGGAATTCAGACCCCTAACGCTAGGCTGCAGGCCAGACTCGCCCTAGCCCCTGGGTTAGGATAGCCCCTTCCTCGACCTGAGTGTTGTAAGGAGCTGCAGCATCCCCCTGCCAGCACCGAGCCATTGCTTGTACCCCTTGGTCTCGCTCACCCTAAGGTGGACACAGAGCCCCTGGCAGCTCCTAGCCTCTTTGCTTCTCCTAGGAGGCAATGAGGGAGGAGCAAAAGCAAGAGGCCCCACAGGTCCTGTTAGTGACTCAGTTTTCTTATCAACATGCCAGAGGCCAGCCTGCCCTTACCACCAGGGGATGCTTGCAGGCACTGCTCTCTGCACCCTGCTGGCCCACCACGTGCCAGCTGCACCCCCTGTGACCCTGAAAGTGCAGATGGCATTGGGTGTGAAGTCCCCCACCCCCAGACACATGACTACATACCTGCCACTTATGGTGGCTCTGACCATGAGATGCGTGACCAGGGTAGTGACCGCCCTCGTTTAAGACCTCCTTGTTTAAGCAGAAGCCTTAAGCTGTGGCATCCTTGTTCACATTCTTTGCTGCCTTTTCATATCTTCATAAGATGTTTGGCCAAAAAAAAGCAACTCAAGATAATGTGTAAGTGCTAGCCAGATATTCACTGAGTGGGGCAGCTTCAGCCAGCTTCCAGCCGGCTGCTCCATGTGTGTGGAGTGTGTGTGTGAGAGCGAGATTGAGAGAGAGAGAGAGGTGTCCTGGGCACCTCGGGATGTCTGGGGACTCCTCCACGTGCCTGATTATCCACAGGGAGAACAAGGAAACAATGTTGCCTGGTGAAATGCCTTTGTGTTTCAGAAGGAACTCAGGCCCTTAACCTTCCGAGGTGCCTGAATGCTCAGGCTGTCCCGTGTTGATAGGGCCGTGCCATGTCACTGACAGCTTGGTCACTGGCCCTGCCCCTTGGCTATTTCTAGCACCTGGCTTGCTCCTTGGCACACCAGAAGTCCTCAATAAACGTGCACTGAGAATGACCTGGAACTGCTTCCCCAGGTCACTGTGCGTAGCCTCACCTGTAGGTTCCATCCAACCTTGGGTTTCCTGACCCCACTCTTGCTCCAGCCTGTGTCTGCTGCTTTTGCTTTTGTGCGAGGGTTGGGGTACAGAGACCAGGGTTGTTGGGAATTCTAAGTTTGATTTTTAAGCCTTCCCCCCCACCCTGGGATTTGCTTATTTATTCTCATTTGGAAGGCTGGACTACACAGTGAAAGCAAGAAAGATATCCTCCATGCACTGAGTCAATCCTCAAATGGCTGCAGCAGCCAAGCCCGGACCGAGCCAAAGCCAGGAGCCTGGGGCTGCATCTGGGCTCCCATGTGGGTAGCAGGGGCCCAACACTTAGGCCGTCCTCTGCTACTTTCTGGGTCATGCCAGCAGAGCGCTGGACCAGAAGCAGAGCAGCCAAGACTCAAACCTGCACTCTGATGTGGGGTGTTGGTGCTGCCAAATTTGGACTTAATCGCAGCCCTTCTTTTCTGTTCTAAGATTTGTTTGCTTTAAGAAGAGGGCAGTGGGCCTGTCTCAGTAGCCTAGTGGCTAAAGTCTTTGCTTTACATGCGCCAGGATCCCATGTGGGTGCCAGTTCTAATCCCAGTTGTTCCACTTTCCATCCAGCTCCCTGCTTGTTACCTAGGGAAGCAGTAGAGGACGGCCCAAAGCCTTGGGACCCTGTATCCACCCACGTGGGAGACCCAGAAGAGGCTCCTGGCTTCAGATCAGCTCAGTTACGGCTGTTGTGGCCATTTGGGGAGTGAACTAGTGGACAGAAGATCTTTCTGTATTTCCTTCTCTCTGTATATCTGCCTTTCCGACAACAACAAAAATAAAATTAAAATCCAGTAAAAAAAAAAAAAGGGTGGGGGAGGCAGCATAGAGTAGAAGGGAGAGGTTGATAGACACCCCCATTGGTCACCCCCTAAGTGTCCGCAAAGGGCAGGCCTGAGCCATTTAGGCCACTAGGTCTCCCACATCGGTGGCAGAGGTGTTTTCTGCCTTCCCTGAGCACATCAGCAGGAAACAGGGTTTGGAAAAGAGCAGCCTGGGTTAGACTAGCACACATATGGGCTGTGGGCTTAATAAACAGTGGTTTAACCCTTTGCGCTACAATGCCAGTCCCAGAATTCTGGTTCTGAAGGGAACTCCTCTTTGTTTATCCCGAGGCAGTGGTCGGGGAGCTGATTGTCCTTTCCACAGGTTTCCTAGTAAACCAGCCACCTTCCTACCAGAGCCCTAGGTAGAGGCAGCAAGCAGCAGTGAGCCACTGGCTGTCCCCAGAGGATTCCCACCTGGGCCTGTGGGGTGAGGTGTGGTGGGGGGCTTGCCTGGTCAGGCCCTGATCCTGCTTGGCACAGGCGACTTGAGAAGGTATGAGCAGCTGTCCCCCAGAAGGAGCTACGCAGGGCTGCCCCTGGTTGGCATGTAGACACAGAAGCAGGGCTTTGTCACCTTCCAGGTCCCCACCTGTGAGGGAGATACAGTGAACTGCTTGCCTAGCACAAGGAGAGCCCTGGCAGACAGCATGACCCTGACCTGGGAGCTGGGGACACAGGAGGACCTGGCCCTAATCCAAGGGGACAACTGTGACACAGCTCCATTCGGTCATGGTCATGCGGAAAAGAGCCCAAGCTTGCGCGCTCTCCCTTTTTTCCAAGAGACGCTGGAAATCCTGAGTTCTATATAAAAGATCTCATTTTCAAAGGCTCACTAAAAAAAGATTTTTTTTTTAAGGCAAATACCACAGCTGCTCAGATAGATTTTAACCCTGTTGGAGGAGGGGGAGAGTTGGGGAGCGGGGCAAAGTCTCCCAGCCTCTGCTGATGCCTGGAATGGAGACGTTAGCTGCTCAGGGAATGTTGGCGGGGGCTGTTTTTATTTTGCTTTATATTTATTTATTTTAAGAGAGAACGTGAGGCAGAAATAACAGAAAAGGCTGCAGCGGACAGCAAAGCTGGGAGAGCAGCCTGCTGGCAGCTGCTGGCACAGCACAGGGAAGAAGGTGGAAAGAATGAAACTCAGTCTCCCCCAGATATCCAGAGATGGGTTACAGGCGCCATGGGCACCCAGGCAGGAGCCAGAGCCAGGCAGCCTCCGCGGAGTAGCTGCAGGAGCTTGTAGGCACTGACGCTGAGCCAGTGGGGTGGAAGAGATGCAGACAGAACAGGGACCAGGACCTCAGAGCCAGGGATTGTGGCCTGCAAGAAAGAGCTGCTTTTTCTCCAGCTGCTGGTAAGCCTGGAGCAAGCCGCTCTGGGGACGGAGCCTGGCCATCCCGTCTTCCTTTCAGCACCTGTCCCCAGTACCCACATTTGCTGATGTGCCCTCATCTGGCCCAGGGAGCCCAGCAGCTCACACACCCTCCCTGCCAAAGCAGACAATGCTCTTGTCCCCAGTCCACGGGTGAAGAAGCTGAGGCCCTGAGAGGTCATGTCACTCGCACAAGGTGACATCACAAGTAGGAGAGGCTGGGCTGAGGTGCCGCGGCCTCCGGCACCTGGGGGTCTGTCCCTCAGAGTGGGGGCAGGGCTCAGCTGCAGAAGGGAGTGACCTTGGCATGAGATGCTCTTTGGCAAAGCTGCCAAAGAGATAGAAAATATGTAAGAAACAGAGCTAAAAACATGAGGCTGGCAGGAAGGGCCCTTGTTTGTATACAGAACTACTCTAAAAGTCAACTACGAGATAACAATTGGTATCCAACAGGGGAATTTGTGTAGGAATTGTGGGAGAGAGTTTCTCTAAAACACTCTTGGTTCTGTCAGTTGTGTAATGTGCTGTGGGTTTGGAAGGAGATACTGATGTTTCTAAAATGTCCCCTGGAACCTGCAGGCTGGGCCAGCACAATGAGTGAGACCCACCTTTGTTTTACATTTTTAAATTTAAATATATTTTTTAAAAGATTTATTTATTTTTGTTATAAAGTCAGATATACAGAGAGGAGGAGAGACAGAGAAGATCTTCAGTCCGATGATTCACTCCCCAAGTGACCACAACAGCCAGTGCTGCGCTGATCCGAAGCCAGGAACCAGGAACCTCTTCTGGGTCTCCCATGAGGGTGCAGGGTCCCAAGGCTTTGGGCCGTCCTCGACTGCTTTCCCAGGCCACAAGCAGGGAGCTGGATGGGAAGTGGAGCCTCCAGGACTAAAACCGGCACTCCTATGGGATCCCGGGGCATTCAAGACGAGGACTTTAGCTGCTGGGCCAAGCTGCGGGGCCCTAAATTAAAATATTTAAAATATATTTATTTATTTGAAAGGCAGGATGGGGAAGGTGCACAGAGCGATTCCATCTGCTGCTTCATTCCCCAAATGGCCTTGAGGATAGAGGCTGGGTCAGGCTGCAGCCAGGATCTGGAATTCCAGCCGAGTCTCCCACGTGGGCCAGGGGTCCAAGGGCGTGGACCAGCCTCAGCTGCTTCCCTAGGGAACTCCAGCAGGGAGCTGGAAGGGAAGCAGAGCAGCTGGACATCAAAGGAGCTTTCCGATATAGAATGCACATGCCACAAATAGCAGACCAAACACCCAGACCCTTCTAATTTATTTTTTTAAAGCTATGTTCCTTTATAAAATACCTAAAGATTTATCTGGTTAATTACTTGAAAAACAATGCTACAGAGAGAACAAGGGATGACTTGAGCAAGAGAGATAGATTGATTTTCTGTTCAGAGGTTCACTCTGCAAATGGCCATAATGGCCAGGGCTGAGTCACCTGAAGTCCCCAGGAGCAGGGCACTGCCTCTGGATCTCCCGTGTGGGTGCAGGGGCTCAGGCACTCTGCCATCTTCTGCTCCTCTCAGGTACCTCAGCAGGGAGCTGATCACAAATAGAGCAGCTGTGATTTCAGATGCCAGCAGGACACATGGTGGTTGAACCCCCTGAGAGCAAGTGGAAAGTGTAAATGACTGGTCGCAGGAACCAGCTTGGTGCAGAGGGGGGTTCCGTAAGGCTGTCACAAGCTCCGGCAGCTGCGGCCGAATCTTCCAGCGTGACAGGAGACGCAGGGACCATCCAGTCTCCACTTACACTCCAGCCAGCAGGCTCTGCCCTGGCCTCCCTGTCTCCAGAAGCCCACACATGGGGCATCCCTAAGGGCATGTGGCCATGCTGTTCCTGCCTCCTCCACCTCTGGGTCAGATCTCCGTGTCCTGACCACCTCCATGTCCCCTGCAAGCCTCTCCCACACTGTCCTGTGAGCCGCAGGTTACTTGGGCTGCTACCCACCGTTTTACACAAGGGCAAGTTCTCCTGCATATCTGAGAGCCGGTCAGAACAAGCTGGTTATGGGATGTATGTATATCCCATACTTTCAAATAAATAAATCTTTATTAATATATGTAACATTATACACACACACAGATTGATTTATTTGAAAGGCAGAGTTACAGAGAGAGGGAGAGACAATTTCCATCTGCTGGTTCACTCCCCAAATGGCAGCCAACAGATAGGGTGTGCCAGGACAGAGCCAGGGCCTAGAACTCCATGAGGGTCTTCCACAAAGGTACAAGGCCCATGCACTCGGGCCATCTTCCATTGCTTTCCCAGGCTCGTTAGCAAGGAGCTGGATAGGAAGCGCAGCAGGGCCTGCCCTGTGGTGTAGTGCATAAAGCTAAGGCCTGCAATGTCAGCATCCCATACAGACACTTGTTCAAATCCTAACTGCTCCACTTCCGATTCAGCTCCCTGCTGAATGCGCCTGGGAAAAGCAACAAAAGATGACCCAAGTGCGCGGAGCCCTGTCACTCATGCGGGCGGAGAAGCAGCTCTGGCCCAGCCCTGACTGCTGTGGCCATCTGCGCTGCCAACAAAATTTGCATACTTTCACTATGATTATTTTTACGTAATTTTTCCTGGCTTCTCCACCCCGCCTCCCCACACACACACACCACTGCAGAGGCCCAAGCATGCACAGGCGCATCCGTTCCTCTGGCTGCACCTCCGTGCCTGTAGCGCCTCCTTCCTACCCAGGCCTGGCGGTGCGGTCTCCACCGTCCTAACCAGGCCCGGAGTTGGGGTCTCCGCCGCCCGGGCTCCACCTGGCGAAGCCGCGGCCCATTTATGGTCGGCAGGGGGCGGGCCCGAGCAGGCTCCGCCTCGCCTCGCTGAGGTCAGCGCGCACGGCTGCGTGTGACGCTCTGGTTGCCGCAGAGACGCCCCGCCCCCGCGCGGCGCTGCGGACCCGGAGCTCCGGGCGGCGTCGGCAGCGGCGCGGGAGGCGGCGAGGCCGGGCGGGCAGCAGCCGGGACGGAGCGGACCACGACGAGGACGCACAGGCAGCCGGGCCGGGCCGGGCCACGGGGACAGCGGCCGCCGGGAAGCGGGCGGGAGGCCGGGCGGGCAGCGGGCAGCCGCCGAGCCGCGAAGCGACATGGTGCTGCTCAAGGAGTAGTGAGTGTCCGCTCGGCCGTGCGGAAGCGAGAAGGAAGGGCGGCGGAGGGAGGGGGTGCTGTCGGGGATGGCGAGCCGGGAGGCCGGCGGCCCGGCGGGCGGAGATGGAGAGAGAGCCTCGTAGGCGACAGGGACCTGGAGTGCCGGACAGCGCCCGAGGTGGCGCGCCCAAGGGGTAGTGAGGGCCCAGCAGGCCCGAGGAGAGGACAGGGGGCCAGCGAGGGCCCGGCAGGGCCAGTGGCAGGGTCAAGGAGACAGCGATAGCTGGGCAGGGCAGGAGGAGAGGGGGACGGAGGGCGCTGGAGGAGATGCAGGGTGGTCCACCGCGGCGGGGGCGCGAGGAGCAAGAGGAAGAGGGCAAGATGAGACCTGCAAGAGGGGCCAGCGGACCCAGCGGGCAGGGACGGACTTATCTGAGGGGCAAGGGACAGTCGAGCAAGGACAGGCAGGGCCGGTGAGCTGGCCACGGCTGGGGAGGGGCTTGGACGGGAGGAAGGGGCAGGGACGATCAGATAAGACAGCTGGGGAATGGAGTTGAGATGCTGGGCAGGAGGAGCGAGGACACCTGAGTGTGAGGCATCCTGGGGCGGGGGAGGAGGACTGGGAAAAAAAGGGCTGGGAAACCAGAGCCAGGCTTGGGTGGGGGCAGGAGGGCCTCGGAGTCCAGGCTGAGGGCGCCAAGATGGGCTGGCGGGACAGGGTGCCCTGTGAGTGAATGCAAGGCAAGTCTGGAGAAAAGATTGGGATTTGAGGGATGCAGGAGATGCTGGGAGGGCTCTTGACTGACATCCTGCTGCGGTGATGGAGAGGGCTGGGAAGTTAACACTGGTAACTTTAGAGACTGCAGAGAAAGTGTCTGTCAGTGAAATGCACCTAGTATGGGGAGGGGTGGGGGGGTATGCCAGAGCTGGCTGGTCTGTAGGGACGAGTCTTGGTGCAGAGTTGGGACAGTTGCTTTGAGGAATTGAGATTCCCGTAAAGCCATCAGCTGGAGAAAGGCAGTGAAGGGTGGCGAAGTTAGTGGCGCCTGGGGAGAAGCCGCAGGCAGCTGGGCTGGTGCCTGAAACCCGGGCCTGGATGACAGGCAGCCGTGTCGGGAATGCTACATCTTTCAAATACAAGGTGACCCATCCCTGGGACTCCTGACTTCAAGTAAACGCCCCAAGACCTCTATTTCCACACGGAATTGGGGAGAGGTGTTAGATGTGTCCCTGCAGGATTTACAAGGAACCTGGCTTCCCTCAAGGAGGAGGAAGTGGGCCTCGTTGGGCCGGAAGCCCCCTCCCCTCGGCGTGGCAGCCTTGGATGATGTCCACGGAGGGCATAGTGTGTGTAGTCCTCTGGGCAGCCAGGCTGCAGTGCCCAGGGCTCTTCAGTGTGTGTAGTTGCAGGTGCTTTGCCTGCCCGCAGCAGGCACGCTCCCTGGGAGATGCTCAGGGCATCCAGGACATCGCACGGAGTCCCGCGAGCAAAGGCACAGAGAGCCAGCTGTCATCCCAGCTGGACCTCTCATAGGAGGTTCTGCCACCTGTGTGTGGACAGGCAGGCTGATGTCAGCCAGGCTGAGACCAGCACCCCGGAAGGCGCACGGAAAACTGGGGCGCTTGTCATGTTCATCCTGAGCATGCCAGTCATCTCTCACCTGGTCCCAGTTGGACCATAGAATGGAGCGACCCTCAGGAAAAGAAAGAAACCCACAGAAGTGTTCTCTGAGTGGCTCTCGGCAGCAAAGCCTCTTTTCTGGTACCTCCTCCCTTCCCCTTGAAGGCTGCTAGGACAAGGTCCCAGGTGCCAGGGATGCAGACCCTGCTTGGCATCTGCAGTCCCTTCCTGCCCAACATGCAGCCTGTGTGTGCATGCCCGGACAGGGGACAGGGCATGATGAGAGGGCCTCCTAGGCCCCCAACTGTGGCTGCAGGCTACTGGCGCGGGAAGGGTGTGTGTGAAGGTCACGCTGAAGTGAGTGTGGCTCCAGCCTCCTCTGTCTTTGGAGCTGTACCCTCTTGCTGCTGCTGCCGCTCCTGCGGTGGTGCTTTAGTGCCCAGCAGCAAAGGAGTTGGGTCTGGATGTGCGGCTCCCGTGTGAGCAGTCAGTGGCCGGATGCTTGCTGTCTGTTTCTCACTGGGGGTGCCTGGGGAGAGAGACCTTGTGCCCGCCCCAGGACCTCAAGTTGTCCCTGTTTATTTTTTCTGACACTTCCTCTAACACGATTTCCCCCTGATTTGATTTCTGCAAATTCCTGGATGTGATTTCTGCTGTGCTCTTGAAGATGAAAGGTTTATTGTTTTCTAGGAAGTTTCTTCTGAGGGTGTGGGGATTCTGGTCTCTAACTTGGGAGCTTTTTTTTTTCACCCTACACCGCTGGCTGTCTATGTTCGCGGCAGGATGAATGACAAGGCTGTTGTTACTTGAGTCCTGTGTTAGCACACAGGGGACTTGGAGCCCATTTTGTTTTTCCTGCCACTTTGTGTGGCGCCTCGCCGTGGTGCTGGCTCCTCAGGCCCCTGTCTCTGTGTGCTGCTTGCTTCCCAGTGGACCATGTGCAGCCAGAGAACAGGGAGCTGGCAGCCAGCTTGAAGCAGGGGCCTGGCTGGTGGACCCACCATTTGGGCGGGAGGCTTGGCTGCTCTTGCTCCATCCACCAAGCACACCTGACATAGGAGGGGCCTGGCTTAACTTGTATGAAGATAACAAAAGCTTGCCTTGCGTTTATTTATTTGAAAAAGAGAGAGAAAAACAGAGAAAGAGGATCTTCCCATCCGCTGATTCACTCCCCAGGTATCTGTAGTGGACAAGGCTGGGCTCTTTGACTGGGACCCGGAGCTTTATCCGGATCCCTCATGTGGGTGCAGGGGCCAAGGACTCAATTTTTCACTGCTTTTCCCCATACTATTAGCAGGGGGCTGGATTGGAAATAGAGCAGCTAGGGCTTGAACCTGCGCCCATAGGGGATGCCAGCTTCACACATAGTAGCTTAATGTACTACTCCACAGCTCTGGCTCCAAGACTTTTTCTCTTAGCTTTCTGAGCTCCCAGCTTGGAAATGGGGTGCAGGGAGGGGTGGCCATTGCTTTGCATTACAAACACAAACCACCTGGAGCTATACCTTTGCCTACCTCAAGCATGGAGTTCTGAAGTTTGTGGGGACCTGGCATTGGCTGTGATTTCATCAGGCATCTCAAACAGCTGATGGTCTTTGAGGTGGAGAAGTGAAGAAAGTGAGTTTGTGTTGGGTGCTCTGAGCCAGCTTCTGGTCATCCATGGTGGCTTCACAGTAGCCATGTATGCTGTCATGATCAGCCCCCCTCCCCTCACCCGTGAGGCACCTGCTGTCAGGGTGACTCACCTTCCACGGGACCCAGCCTGGTCCTAGCCCTTCGTCTTGGAAGTGAGGAAGTTGGGTTGCAGAGATATGGTTTGCTGGGACCTGATGCCCTTGGCTATAATTCATGGTGGTCCTGGCACTTACACTGGCAGGTGTTTCAGTAGAAGATACGGGGTAGGGGAGCAACAGGGGTGCAAAAGAGAGTACCTGATAGGAGTCCTGGGCCTGAGAGGGGACTGACCAGGGAACAGAGTGGCACTGACTTTTCAGGAAGCCCTGTGTCTGCCTGACGTCAAGGCCCCCAGAGTCTGTCTGGATTTTGCCAGTGAGTGGAGTGGCACATGCTGAGGAGTGGCAAAAGATGAGGCTGCTGACCCCAGGGGCTGCTGTGGGCAGGTCTGAGAGCCCAGTGCTAACATTCTTCTCCCTGTCTTGCAGTCGAGTCATCCTGCCCGTGTCTGTAGATGAGGTAAGTCCTTGTTCCTCCTCTCCCTCCGTCATCCCGCACGCGTGCTTTCGGGCCCCCGGGAGCCACCGTCGTTTGTGTAGTGTTCTGGTTTGTTCTGAGGGATGACCAGGGCTCAGTGCATATGCTCCTGTGCTGCTGCCAGTGGAAGGAAGGGACTTGTCTGCGTCTGAAGCAACAGTGCATAGTCTAGCCAAGCTCTTGGCATACTGGGTGCTTTGAATAGACTCTAAACCACTCCCGTGCCCTGCCACAGCCATTCCCGTTTGGGGCCTGTTGTTGAAGGGATTAAGTGTGTGCTGATACACTCCGAGACATGCTGGGGAGAGTGCCTGGTGCTGGCTGTGCTTACCAGCCCAGCAGGGCAGGAACTCTCTGAGCCCTCACAGGATGGTTGGCTAGCCTGACACAGAGCCCTCCTCTTACTGAGGGCTGGCCGGTCCCCCCAGGCCTTTTATGGTCCCCCGCCTGACATCCCTTCATATGGGGATCTGGCAGCACTTGCCACAAGAAGGTTCAAAGGCCGTGCTGACTCAGAGCTGCTATTGCCCACAGCCAGGACCTTCCTCGTCCCACCCTTCCTCTCAGCTTCCTCCACCTGCCTTTCCTGGCTCACCCTCACTCCTTGCCTCCTCCTTGCCTTAACGTGAACTTGGGTGAGGCCAGTTAGCCAGAGCAGTGCCCTCAGCTACAGAGTTCTGTCTCTCTCTCCTCCAGTGCTGGCAGCAAGCTCCCATGCTAACTTCCACTCTGTTCCAAATGTGGACTGCACCTTTGGCAAAGGACATCAGGCCAGCAGAGCCCCCAGCACCCTTAGCCGAGACACGTGCCAAGCTTCCTGGCACCCAAGAGTGGTGCGCAGGCCTTGGCTCATGTCTGATGGGAACTGGGGAGACTTGGGCAGGGGCCACAAAAGTGTGCCTTAAACATGACCTGGGAGTTCTGGGAATGACATAATGGGAGAACTGAGCTTGGGGATCCCAGAGGAGAAAGGGGTGGCTGCACAGAAGCTGTAATGCCCCTGTACCTGGGCTGGCAGGTGTAGGTTTGGGGCAGGTGTCCTGTTCATCCACCTCCTCTGGGGGTTTTCCTTTGTTTAATCAAAAGAGCAAGTGGTGATTTTCTGATTTTTTTTTCCCAAATCAGACGACTCAGCCAGGCTCAGCCAGGCTCAGCGGCAGGCTCCTAACCTGGGAGCTTAACTCTTAGGGATCCAGTGAGCTCTGCTATATAGGATGATTTCCTCCTTCCCCCTACCCCATGGGTCCCCCTGGAACTCTGCATTTCCTGAAGGTGCTATTTAGGGGTGAAATTAGTCATTTTAGAGGGGGAAGGTGGGACTATAAACTGGGCCTGGATTCTGGGAGTCAGGAAGCGTCAGAGCTGTCCCCCTAGCACCTCTGGGCTGCTCTGTGGTGAGGCTGCTGGGCCAGGATGCCTCTGGTGGCCCTGAGAAGGTGGGAATGGGAACATTGCCTCCTGCCTTGGGAGTGCCTGCCACCCGCACTTTCTGGCTTGTGATTTTTTTTTCTTTTTGGTAGCACTGAGGAAGTGGTGGGCGGGGTGAGGAAGGTGTCAGATTGAGCTCTAGTGAGGCTACATCTGTTTGTCTAGTGGTGGTGTGGTGGTCAGCCCATTCGCAGCAAGAAATGGTGAACGAGAGATCCGCACCCAGCCCTGTAGGGTGGAAGTGGAAGCTGCTCTTTTCGCGGCGCGAACCTTAGTTCAAGAAGACTAGAGAGGGATCCAGAGTACGGAAGCCAAAGGATGAGCAAGCAGTGATTAACCTGCTCTGTCTTTGTCAATCAGCCCATCCTGACTCATGGTTCCATGGGAACAGCTGGGCATCATGTGACAGGTGGCTTCACTTCCGACATTGGAGGTAATGACTTGAGGCCCCTGAAACGCTCTGATTTTGGCGGTAGAGAGAACAGGTCGTGCGTTTAGAATCATCCAGTGGCCTGGATCAATATTTGGGGGCAGAACTGGCTCCGCTTGGTCAGCACCCCTGGCCTGCTACCATGCAGGGTTTCGAGACATTTTGCAGCTCCCAGGCTGTTTGACATGGGTGTGCCCCATCAGTGGCTTGTGGCCCAGATCTGCCAGCCTGCTTCTGTGGGCAGGGCCATCGGACTTCTCTTTTTCCCAAGATTCCTGGTACCACCCCCTAGGGTTGCCTGACCCGACAGAGTCCCAGGAGGGGAGTGGGGACCTGCAGCTATACTGGGTTTCACGTGTTTCAGGTTAGACTTTCTGGGCTGCCCATGCCATCTTCTTACCCCCATAGCTGGTGTTGATGAGGTAGCAGCAGTGGTGGGGTGAGGGCATTTTCATTTTTCTTAACTGGGAACCAATCTCAAGGGTCAGGCAGCATGGCGCTAGGACCCCAGTCTCTTTGGGGTTCTTTGGTCTGACCTTCCCCACCTCCACCCTACGTCTGGCTGCTTCCCTAGGATGCAGAGCAGCTATGCCCCAGGGAACTCTTGTGACAGGGGAAGTGTCCCTGGCTTGTAGCTTACCCCCTTGGGTGAGCAAAACTGCCTTCACTTTCTCATTGGGATTAAAGGATCAGAATATCAAGAGAGATTAGGGGAGAAGGTGCCAGCCAACAAGCCGATCCTCTTAGAGCCTACCCCCGATTGCTGAAGAGAAACCGAAGGAAAGTGATTAGCTGCTGCCTGAGGGGGTGGTGCAGGCATCTCCCCCAGCAGCAGTGCCAGCCAGCCAGCCACCAGCAGTCCCCTGCCCCCGGCCCTCTCCCCTGGCTGCCCTTTAGGATTGCTGAGTCAGTGCTTGGAAGTGCTTCTGGCTGCTCTGCAACGGAACTCACCCTCCTCCTTAAGAAGTCCTGGCTGAGCCAAATCCTGGCCCATTGGGTGTGTGCCCTCAGCTAGGGGCATGCTGGGTTTGGAAAGGCATGGGGACAGTCCAGGGATTCCAGGTGGGGTGAACGGGGCTGAGGTAGCACCAGTGTTACTCAGGATCTGCCAGGTTAAGGTGCCTGACTGTCCCCCAGAGGTGCCCCTTTATGGGGTTAACTGGGGCCTTGGCGATGTGTGCTGAGTGTTTGCTTGGGGGATGGGTTCTTACAGCTTTGTGGTGAGCAGGGACTTTGTGGTGTCCTGCTCTGCTGCGCAGAAATGTCCCTGCTGTACTCCCGTTGTGGCAGGCAGGGGTCAGGCAGCAGGTGCCCACAGATGCAGTGGCACTGTCCTGCTCTCGGAGAGACACATTCTTGTTGTCCACCCCTGGGGTGCCAGGAGTTTGGGGCAAGGGGTGGTAGAAGGTGAGGAGGAAACCCTTCATTTTCCCTGCTCCAGCCCAGACCTTTCCTTAGGCAAGTCCTGACTGCTTTTCATTTTTTCATCCCCCTGAAGCTGCAGTGCCTGCTTGGCCAGGCAGCACTGCCTGCATTGGCTCTTGCTCTCAGGTCGCTTTTCACTTTATTCTCCCCTCCATGCAGTTTCCTGAGAAGGGGCAGGAGGGCCAGGCCGGGCGATGCCCAGCCCATTGGCCTTAGCCCTGAACTGTCCTGCGGGAGGTCAGAGGAGGCTGGTGACTGGATAAGGTGGCGTGTAACCCAAGTACAGGGAAACCAGGCTTCTGCGGCTAATGGCTGCCCACGGAGAAAGTGTGCCCCGGGTGGGATGTGGGCGCATTGAGGGGCTGGAAGCGGCGAGGAGGTTGGGCTGCCTGTAAGATTCTGAGACGCTTCCGGGCTGAGAAGCAGGCCAACATGGGAAAGGAAGTAGACAGCAAAGGTTTGATGATTTCACAGTGCCATAGGTAGCTTTGGTAATGAATTGTGTCTTAGTATTGTGTTTTTTTTTTTTAAGGATTTATTTATTTGAAAGGAAGAATTAGAGAGAGAGTTGTTCTATCCAGAATAAGCTCCTGAGTGGGAGAGTTCCAGGTGATCTGATGGGAAAGGCTGCAGCAGGTGCGCAGTGAGTAGCTGCCATGAGTAATGCCTGTCTGTCTGTTCCTGTAGTACCAAGTAGGGCAGCTGTATTCTGTGGCTGAGGCCAGCAAGAATGAGACAGGCGGCGGCGAGGGCGTGGAGGTGCTGGTGAACGAGCCGTATGAGAAGGATGGCGAGCGAGGCCAGTACACGCACAAGATCTACCACCTGCAGAGGTATGGGACGGCCAGGGCCGGGGGACGGTGGGTGTGTGTGCTGCCGGGGTGTACTCACGTTGCCATGGCAGCAGGCCCCAGTGGTACTTCTTTGTTCATCTGGGGAATTTTATTTATTTGAGAGGCAGAGAAACAGTGGGAGAGAAACAGGAAGACAGAGCTTCAGTCTGCTGGTTCGCTCCCCACATGCCTGCCGTGGCTGACGCCAGACCAGGCCAGGCCAGCTGAATCCAGGAACTCAATCTGGGTCTCCCCACATGGGTGGCAAGAACCCAGTGACATGAACCATCACTTGCTACCTGCCTTCCAGGGAGTGTATCAGCAGGAAGCTGGAAATGGGAACATAGCCTTGTCCTCAAACCCAGACACTTTAAAGCCAACATTGTGGCACAGCAAGTTGAGCTGGCACTTGCACTGCCAGCATCCCTAATTGGAGTGCTGGTTTGAGTGCTGGCTACTCCACTTCTTTTTCTTTCTTTTTTTTTTTTAATTTAAAGATTTATTTATTTTTATTGGAAAGGCAGATTTGCCGAGAGGTAAGACAGGAAGATCTTCCATTCACTGGTTTGCTCCCCAAGTGACCACAATGACGGGAGCTGAGCCCATCCAAAACCAGGAGCCAGGAGCTTCTTCCAGGTCTGCCACTTGAGTATAGGGTCCCAAGACTGGGCCATCCTTTACTGCTTTCCAAGGCCAGCAGCAGAGAACTGGAAGGGAGCTGGAGCAGCCGGGATACAAACTGGCACCCGTATAGGATCCTGGTGCATATAAGGCAAGGAGTTTAGCTACTAGGCTACCGTACCAGACCCTACTTCACTTCTGATCCAGCTTCCTGCTAATGTGCCTGGGAAGGCAGTGGAAGATTGAGTTCCTGGCTCCAAGCTTTTTACTGACTCAGACCTGGCCATTTGGTTTGCTCGCTCGCTCCCTCCCTCCCTCCCTCCTTCCCTCCCTCTCTGTTGTTCTGCCTTTCAGATAAATAAATACATCCTTTTTTTTAAGATGTATTTATTATTTTTATTGGAAAGGAAGATATACAGAGAGAAAGAGAGACGAAGATCTTCTGTGCGATGGTTCACTCCCTAAGTGGCTGCAACAGCTGGAGCTGTGCCAATCTGAAGCCAGGAGCCTTTTCTGGGTTTTCCATGCAGGTGCAGGGTCCCAAAGCTTTGGGTCATCCTCGATTGCTTTTCCAGGCCACAAGCAGGGAGCTGGATGGGAAGTGGAACTGCTGGGATTAGAACTGGCGTCCATATGGGATCCCGGCACGTTCAAGGCAAGGACTTTAGCTGCTGTGCTATCACGCCAGGCCCAATAAATAAATCTTAAAATAAAAAACAAACCCAGACACTTCAGCGTGGGACAAGGGCATCCCAAGCAGTGTCTTTTTTTTTTTTTTAAGATTTTTTTTTTTTTAATTTTTATTGGAAAGGCGGATATACAGAGAGGAGAGACAGAGAGGAAGATCTTCTGTCTGATGATTCACTCCCCAAGTGAGCGCAACGGCTGATACTATGCTGATCCGGAGCCTGGAAGCTCCTCCGGGTCTCCCATGCGGGTACAGGGTCCCAAAGCTTCGGGCTGTCCTCGACTGCTTTCCCAGGCCACAGGCAGGGAGCTGGAAGGGAAGCGGGGCCACCGGGATTAGAACCAGTGCCTATATGGGATCCCGGGCGTGCAAGGTGAGGACCTTAACCACTGCGCCATCGCGCCGGGCCTCCCAAGCAGTATCTTAACTGCAGCATCCGAAGCCTACCTCTTTGCTGTTCCGATGCTTCTCCTAGAGCTGCCATAATCTGCCTCTTGTAAGGTACACACAGTCATCAGAGCATTGGGAAGTAGAGACAGGCTGCGTGATGTCACCGCAGCAGTCTGTTCTTGATATACATTCATATTCATTTCCAGAGGTCCACATGTCCCAGTAAAATTCCTTCTGCGTGGATCTGTCCATGTGCTTGTGTGTGTGTAAATCTACAGGAACTATTTCTGAAGTTAGAATCAAGATTAGGTTAATATTTCAATCCCGATTCTGTAAAATCAGATGCTGATGAGGTTTTATACCTCTCTTTGGATCAAAAGCATGAATATGTTCAATGGAGGCGTGAACTGATTTGTGTATCCAGATCCACAGCAGACCATGCACCTTTGCTGAGTCTCTCACCACAGGGTGCTGAAAGCAGTTGTCACAGACCAGCCAGCAGGCAAGGCAGACTGAGCCACTGTGAGGAAGTACCCAGAGCTGGAAAGACTACACCGGAAACTTTTTTTGTTTTAAATTTATTGCTGTAAAAGCGCCTCCCATCATAATGTTTTAAGCAGTTTCAAGTGCGCAGTGACACAGTGACATGAAGTGCAGTGACTTCTCTGCTACTGAAGCTTGAGTGGTGATTCCTGGAAACAAAAACGGAAGTGGAAATGATTTCACTTGGGTTTGGTGAAATCCCCAGCTCCCGCGATGAATGCTCTGCCACCTCAGCCACGGTGCCACAAGCACTGAGCCCGAGGAAAGCAATGCTGAGCAGGGAGGCCCTCCCCAGGACCCTGTTTGCTTGGCAACGCTCGCCTTCCTTCTGGCCTGCTCCTCCTCCTCCTCAGTCCCCACTGAGTTGAGTGTCAGCAGCTCCTCCTTGCAGAGTTAGCAGAGATTGCTCTGTCCCTGTGGTGTGTCTATATACTTTTCCTGTTTTATTTGAAAATAGAGCTGGAGAGCTCCCATCCACTAACTGACTCTCCAGGTGCCCACAGCATCCTGGGCTGGGCCAGGCTGAAGCCAGGAACCCTGAGCTCTGTCCACGTCTCCCGTGTGGGTGTCAGGGACCCAAGCACTCAAGTCCTCACCTGTTACCTCCTGCTTGGAAGCTGGAGACGAAACAGGACGAGGACTTGAACACTGGCATTGTGGTGGACATGCAGGTGTCCCAAGAAGCATCTGTGCAGCCATGTCAAGTGCTTACCCTTCTTTCTTTTGAAAGAAGACTTTTTTTTAAATTGCAAAATTAGTTATTTTTATTGCAAAGAGAAGAGACAGAAAGGAAGATCTTCAGTCCAGTGATTCACTCCCCAAGTGGCCACAATGGCCAGTGCTGTACCAATCCGAATCCAGGAGCCTTTTCTGGGTCTTCCACGTGGGTGCAGGGTCCCAAGGCTTTGGGCCATCCTCGACTGCTTTCCCAGGCCACAAGCAGGGATTTGGATGGGAAGTGGAGCAACCGGGATATGAACCAGTGCCCATATGTGATCCTGGCACATTCAAGGTGAGGACTTTAGCCGCTAGGCCATTGCACTGGGCCCTGGAAGAAAATTTTAAAAAGATGGTGATGTTGGTCTTTTAGGCTGGAAGGGCCAGGTCAGTTGGTTCTACTTTGTCCAACCAATGTGTCAGAGTGGAAGGATGAGGCTTTCCTACCAGAGAGATATTGGGGAGTGCTGAGGTGTGTGTGTTGTGGCTTAGTTGGTAAAACTGCCCCTTGAGACACTTCAGCCCTATCCGAGTACTCAGGATTGATCCCAGCTCCTGGCTTTGGCCTGGCCCAGCCAAGTGTTGCAGGCCACTAGGAAGTAAGCTAGTAGACGGAAGATATTTCTCTGTCCATCCCCCCACCCTGACTCTGGCTATCAAATAAGTAAGTAAATAAAGCGAGTAGAAGCTTTGAGCTGCTACACTACTCTTTTCTTATCACCAAATCATCCAACTTGAGGAAATAAAGCCACCGTGGCTGCTGCTGTCTCCTGGCAAAGACAAAGCCATGCTGTGCTGACAGCCAGGTGTCTGTTCGGGCAGGGACGGTAACTCGCTGCTACACTCCTCCTCCCCTCTGCCCAGTCACGGGCTGTGGATTTCATGTTTCCATCCTCTCTCACGCTCTTCACTGTCTCGCTTCCTCCCAACTCCCCACCCAGCTCCCAGCATGCTGCCTGCATGCTCTGTTGCTCCCAAAGTTGCACGAGGTTTCCCTCTGCCCGTGGGTGATACCTATGCCCTCAAACGTGGTGTGCAAGCTCTTTCAGGATGTGGCCACAGTGTCCTCCAGGTTCCCTGCCTCGGGCCCTGCGCCAGCCCTTTGTCTTTTCTCCCTTGGCTTAGCTTTTGTGCTGTCACTCGCCTTCTTTGTCCAGCTGAGACCTCCTCAGTGTGCCTTCTGTGGCCCAACTGTGCCTGGGGAGCCCCTGTGTGCAGCGCTGCCTGCACTGGGTTCCCCCGGGGCTCACCGGCCTTGCCTGCTGAATTGTCCTCCTCGCCGCTGGACTGCATACTCTTCCTGGGGAAGGCACCTCTCTGTGTATCTGGCACACAGGAATCCTCACCTGCTGGAGTGGCACGGAATGTGTGTCCATCAGGAATGTTCTGAGTTAACTCTTTGTGGGGGTTAGCTCTGTGTTCTGAGGCCTGAGGCCCTAAAGCTGATGAGGTGGCTAGAGTCTGCTGAGCACTCAGGAGGTTACCCTGGAAGACCCGGGAGTTAGCATGTGCCCCCCTTCACAGCTAGGATACCCACTTTCCATGCTGGAGGACCTGGCTTTGATACTGGGCTCCAGCTCCTGTTTCCAGCTTCCTGCCTATGTTGACCCCAGAAAGCAGCAGCTGATGATTCAAGTCACTGGGTCCCTGCCGCCCAGCAGGGAGATCTGGATTGAGTGACTGGCTGCCAGCTCCTGCTCAGCCCAGCCCTGGTCATTGCAAACATCTAGGAAGTAGACCAGCACATGGGAATTCACTAAGTCTTTCTGTTCGTCTCCCTAACTCTCACATGAATTGTTTTCTTAAAGAGACAACAGGAAAAAAGAAAATATGCATTAAAACACAAACACACACAACTGGGCTCATAGCCTACATGTTGTTCTGTAACCTGAGATAAGAATTGAGTAGAAGGCCAATGGCCCTGAGGCCCTGCTGGACTCTCAGAACTGGTGAAAATACACTGGATCCTCTTGGGTTCTGCATTGCCAACTTAGCCAATCTCCCTGGTCCCTGAGCCTCGCCTGGTCCCCACCTGCAGGTCTCTCCTTGGTGTCTCAGGCCTGTGTGGTGTCATACCCTGACCCCAGTGAGCTCTGGATAACTGGGGAATGATAACATAATGGATGATAGGCCCGACAGGTAGCCTGTGGTCTCATCCCCTGTCCTGTTCTGGTAGGTGGCTGGGCAGGCGTGGCTGGGTGGCCATGACCAGGCAAGCAGCCTCTCACACACAAGAGTAACGTGCTAATTTCGCAGAGCACTGCAGGCTAGCTCCCTGCTGGAGAAGCTGGGTCTGTGACCCAAAGCTTGGGTGTGTGAAGGCTTCCTCGGAGCCTGTTGCCACCACCTTCACTCCTCCATTTCTCTCCATCATCCATTTGTTTTTTTTTTCATTGTAGCAAAGTACCCACATTTGTTCGAATGCTGGCACCAGAAGGAGCCCTGAACATCCACGAGAAAGCGTGGAATGCCTACCCTTACTGCAGAACCGGTGAGTGTGGGCATGGCCAGCCACGGGGCTGAGGGCCCCACAGTGTAGTAAGTGTGGTTGAGTAGGGCTGAGGATTCACCCTCGTTTCCCAGGGAAAGCCGGTGAAGGGGGAAGCTGGGCTTCCTGCGGCTTGCGGTGCCTATATTCTACACAACTCAGCAGTCAGCTGTGCGAGCCACCAGCCGCCATGGCCTCCGATTATGTTTGCAGATTAAAAGAGGTTCTCTGTATGCATGTTGAAAATACATCAAAACAAAAGAAAATTAGTTAAAATTCCGGTGTAGTTTAGTAGTCCATTTTTTTCATGCACATGTATATTCTCCACACATATTTTGTAAACAAATTTCAGGGAATCACTAAATTTTTAGTTGCCTGTTATCCTCCAATAAATGGAGAATGGATTCCATTTGTTGGAATCCAAATGTTGCCAGGTTGGCTGTTATTCCAAATGGTTAATTGGTCATGGCTGCCTAGTATTCCATACCTTGGAACTCCCGTGTGACCCGACCCTGACCTTGCCAGTTGTGTGATATATTTGCACTGGGTTTCAAAAGCAGCCCTGAGCCCAGGCACTCTTGAGCAAGACGGTCCCATGCAAGGGCCTGTGGAGTGACCTTCCTGTCTTGGATGAAACCCTGAGGAAAAGCGGCAAAGGAAACAGTAAGATTGTTTGGGGAAAGTTTAAACAAGCCCAATTTTTGATGACCCAGGATTTCAAGACAGCTGTCTGTGCTTGCCTAGAGTATACACAACTTTTTCTTGGGCAGACAGGCACTGCTGTCACAGAGCTCTGAGCTGATGGCTTATACTGAGGCAACACATGCTACAGCTGAGGGTGGCTGTGGACTTTTTGTCTGTCTCAGCGACTCTCTTGTGTGGAGTTGGTAGAAAGAAAATGAAAGATTTGAGCTTGATCACTTCCTTTGGGGCAGTTCATGCTCCCAGCTTCCCACGCTTCCCAGGTCTCAAAGGCCGCCCAGGAGTAGACCTCTGGGCCCGACCTGCCACATGTCCCAGAGGAGTCCTTTGAGGTCCCCGGGGACTTGTGCGCCAGGTGAGTGACCTTTCTCCCCAGTAACCTCCCTCTATCAGCACGGGCGGCCTGCCTCTGGGTCCCTCTGCCGGCCTCTGCTGGCCTGTGCTACCTCACTTGTTTGATTTGCTGAGACCCAGCACTTGCTAGATTGTATCTGGTGACAGTGTGGTCTTTATGTGACCCTGTGATCCTTATTCTGGGACTTTGGGAAGAGCTAAAGCTCAGAACACGAGATCATTGCTCTTTGTAAGCCTCTGTGGCCCTATGCAGACAAGTTCAAGGACCTCGCGTGTATCAGGAGATGTACAGTAGGTGCTGGACGACTGTGTAACACGTAGTTTTATTGCTTTAGGTAAAAATGCAAGCTTCACCACTTCTGAAACCCTGAGCACAAAACTGTTCAGTTACTGGAAATGAGGCATGCGTACCTGTCCTTAAAGACAGTGTGCAGTGTGGCTGGGTGTGGCTGGGCTGAGGCCAAAGGTGAATTTTCTTGATAGCCAAAAGAGCTGCAGTGGGCATGCGTGCTAAGAACTTTGGCCAACGTGGCACAGAGAAGGCAAACAGCATGTACTTCTCCATGTCTGGGCAGGGTTCTGGGTACATAGCTGGTGCCAACTGGGAGATGCTGCTGTCCTCTGTAATTCTAGGGAGGGAGCACTGCAGCTGTCATAGGCTTTTTAATTTTTTTTTAAGACAAAACAAATGTTAGTTCTTGACCACAAGGACAAGAAAAATAAACATAGGATTTGTAGATATTCCATGGAGAAGAAAGATGGAGTGGGGGAAGAACAGTGTGATGCCATCAGGGGGTGATAACTTCCTAAAAATTCACCTTGGTTTTTTTTTTTTCTTTTTTTAAGATTTATTTATTTTATTGGAAAGGCAGATGTACAGAGAGAAGGAGAGACAGGAAGATCTTCCGTCCTATGATTCACTCTCTAAGTAGCTGTAACGGCCGGTGCTGCGCTGATCTGAAGCCAGGAGCCAGGAATTTCTTTCCGGGTCTCCCACACGGGTGCAGAGTCCCAAAGCTTTAGCCTGTCGTTGACTGCTTTCCCAGGCTACAAGCAGGGAGCTGGATGGGAAGCGGGGCTGCTGGGATTAGTACTGGCGCCCATATGGGATCCCGGCGCGTTCAAGGCGAGGACCTCAACCATTATGCTATCGTGCCAGGCCCAAAATCCACCTTCATATAGATTGGATCTGTTGAGTCTTAAACCTGCAGTTAGACACCTGCTCTTTTTGAGTAAAAGGTGGAAGCAGGCAAGAGGGGCTTCTTTCCAGTTGCCGGCAGGGCTGAGAGGGAGCTTATTGGTTGGAACGTCTGAGCCTGGCCTGACTAGATCAAAGTGTGAAATAAGGTGGAAGAGGCACAGGGTAGATTCCCCCTGCCTTTGAGAAGGCTTGAGCCTTACCTCTCCGAGTCAGGCGGAAGTAGATTTGGGAAGTTTTACTCATCCTCGATGTTTTCTCTTCCTTTATTTCTCTTTTGCACCAGCAGCTGATGGGTTGTGATGTGAGGCTGGGGTAAGATGGGGGTTGGTCTGGGCAGGGAAGTGAGAAGAAAGAGGGAAGTCTTGGTTTCTTCTGCTAGGTTGGCCTCTAACTGGATACAGTTTCACCAGAGCCATACTTTGTGGGTTTCCTAAAACATTCCCCATATACCTTGAGTTGCAACAGAAAGCCCAGGGGGCTGCTGCCACTGCACAGCTGGCAGGGAGGGGCAGGGAGGATGAGAGGTCAGGTGGACTGTTCGGTCACCCATGCTGGCCTTGAAGGCTGGGCAGACCGTTGCATTGGTCATTGCAGACTTCCAGGAGCTGGTGAAGATGAATGCATGCCAGGCGTCAGACTGTGAAGTCGTGCTGAATACAGTGTTACTAGTAAAACCAGATAGTCCTATTTGCTAATCAGGACATTATTTGTTTGTGGATTCTTCTTTATTTTTTTTAAAGATTTATTTTTATTATTTTTTTTATTGGAAAGGCGGATATACAGAGAGGAGAGACAGAGAGGAAGATCTTCCATCCGATGATTCACTCCCCAAGTGAGCACAACGGCCGATACTATGCCGATCTGAAGCCAGGAGCCTCTTACGGGTCTCCCACACGGGTGCAGGGTCCCAAAGCTTTGGGCCGTCCTCATCTGCTTTCCCGGGCCACAGGCAGGGAGCTGGATGGGAAGCGGGGCCACCGGGGTTAGAACCAGCGCCCATATGGGATCCTGGGCGTGCAAGGCGAGGACCTTAACCACTGCGCCACTGCACCGGGCCCCTGTGGATCCTTCTACCCAGAAAACCAAATTAAAACCAGAATAACCATGTACAGGGGCCATGTACAGAATAACCATGTACAGTGTGGCAGTATGGCAGGTTAAGTTACTGCCTGCAATTCCAGGATGCTGTATGAGCACTGGTTTGAGTCCTGACTGCTCTGCTTCTAGTCTAGCTCCCTGCTGCTGTTACTGGGAAAGCAGCAGAAGATGGTCCTAGTACAGTACTTGAGCCCCTGCACCCACAGGGGAGATCCAGATGAAATTCCTGGCTCCTGGCTTCAGATTGGCTCAGCTCTGGCTTTGTGACCATTTGGGGGAATGAACAAGTGGATGGAAAAGCTGTGTCTCTAATTCCACCTTCCAAATAAGCATACAATTTTTAAAAAGAAGAAGAAAGTAAAACAATAGCAATGCATAGTGAAAACTACTCACCTGGTTAAGATATTACATTCATGTGTCCACTGATTAGCACATTCACTCCCTACAGGGGCCGAACTAGAAGAACAGGGATTGAGAATAAGGCGGTTGGCTGGGAAGCTTAGTGCCAGCATCATGAGACAGCCTGAGACAGCTGTGTCCTCCAGGGACACCCCCAGGCTCGCACCCCTCCACAGTGCTGGGAAATGAGTGCCAGTTGGCTTCCCTGGACTTCCCTCTTGTGGGTCTTTTGTCTACAAGTCACTCACCTTCTTTTATTTTTTAAAAAAATTATGTATTTGAAAGGTAAAGTTACACACAGATAGAGGGAGAGAGCAAGATGTTCCATTCACTGGTTCACTCCCCACATTAGTGTAATAGTTGGGGCTGGGTCAGACCGAAGCCAGGAGCCAGGAGTTTCATCTGAGTCTCCCACACAGGTGCAGGGACCCAAGGACCTGGACCATCTTCTGCTTTCCACTGCATACACAGTGCCCACATGGGATGCCAGCATTGCAGGTGGCAGCTTAACTTGTTATGTCACAGTGCTCACTTCTGGTTTGGTTTTTTTGTTGTTGTTGTTGTTTTAAGATATATTGTAAAGTCAGACATGCGGAGAGGAAGAAAGACAGAGAGGAAGATCTTCTGTCTGATGATTCACTCCCCAAGTGGCTGCAGTGGCTGGAGCTGAGCCAATCTGAAGCCAGGAACCTGGAGCCTCTTCTGGGTCTCCCACAAGGGTGCAGGGTCCCAAAACTTTGGGCCGCCTTTGACTGCTTTCCCAGACCACAAGCAGGGGGCTGGATGGGAAGTGTAGCTGCTGGGATTAGAACTGGCACCCATATTGGATCCTGATATGGTGAGGACTTTAGCTGCTGGGCCATCACGCCTGGCCATCCTAGTTTCTTTTTTTAAAAATAGAATTGTACTTCAAACTGGCAATAGGACAGTGACTTCAATCCCAGGCCTTTTTGCTGGTGTTTTCACTGATGCTTCCTCAGATGTCTATCACGGGTCAGGAAATTACTAATGGCTTCACGGATCACCTTCCTTAGGTTCCAGCCTTTCGGTGGGCCAGTCTCAGAGCTCCCCCTGGCCTCCGTTTCGGGGTTAAAGAATTTGTTATTCCCATAAACTCTGCAAACATGGCAGAGGAGCACCCACCAGACATTGAGACAGTCCCCAACTTCCGAGGGGCCTGAATGAGTCAGGTCTTTCTTGAGGGCAGGACTGACCAGTCTGCTCCCAGTGACCAGGGAGCCACAGTCATTTTCTCTCTTGAATAATGTAGCCGCAGCGCTTTCCGAGCGCATCCCGTTACAATGAGCCCGAGTGCAGGGTGCGTGAGGTCTGGTTACAGTGAGAGGAAGGGTAGGGGACAGACGTCAGCACCGGGGCCAGCGTGGCCTGCTCCAAGCTCCAACAGGTGGAGGTGATGCCCTGAGGACCATGTGTTCATAAATGACTAGCATCTTTCCTTGTCCTGCTGAGAGGAAGCCCAGAGTGGTATCGCTTTAATTAAATTTCAGTTTGGTCTTTGGGGACTCCCAAGAGGAGTGACACTTGAGGGTCGGCGTGCGTGGGTGTGCTCTTCCCTCATTGGGGTTTGGAGGTGATGGTGGCTTGAGCCACAGGGGACTGAAACCTCTTTGCTCCTCAAGGTCCCTGGGGAGCAGGACAGATATTTATTTATCTTCATTAATCTTTTTCTCTTTTCTTTCTATGTCCCTGCCTTGGAGCAGTTATTACAGTAAGTATTGTCGTGTGTGTGTGTGTGTGTGTGTGTGTGTGTGTGTGTGTGTGTGTGCAGGTGACCTATAGGGAGAGAAGAAACAAGATTGCCACTGCACCAGAGGGGCTGAGTGGCCTGCTCTCAAGCAACAGTGGAGTTGTTGAGGCTCAGTCCCAATGAGGGGCGTGGTGGGCGCCTGTGCAGCTTTATCTGTTACATCCCAACCCTTGACATTTTGCAATTAGAGTGTCTTGAGTCCCTCCCCTGCTGCTCCTGTACCCCCCTACCCCCTCCCGAGGTTATGCCTTCCCCAGGGTGGCAGCTGACCCGAGATGACTATGTAGCATCCCAGTGGGCCTGGCCCTCAGCAGGATTGGGAAAACATCTTTCCTGTAGCCATCCCATGACTCTGGCCCCTCCTCTCCCCCGGCCATGTTCATCCCAGAGCCTCTTCTCTACTGCTAAATGCAGCCAGTGGTTTCTGGGAAGCTCAGCTCCTGCCGAGGAGTTAGTGGGTCCCTCTGTTTTCCTCCTTTGAGTAGTTTGGACTTTTTAAGAGGCCATAAAGGAGGGGGAACATAGCCAGCACGGGGGTTGGATTACTGAGAAGGGAACTCCAGCAAAGGCTCGCTGGAGGGAAAGGGGCCAGGCGCCTGGGTAGGACGAGTTCCCGAACTCTTACCCCATGACTTGTGCGTGTCAGCTGCTGGGCTGGGCTGGGCTTTGCTGAAGTCAGTCAGACCTGTTTTTGAGGCCCAGCTCTGTGATGCTGTCTTTGGCTATGGACAAGTCACATAACCTGTTTGTTGGGAATTTCACTCTCTTCATCTGAAAATGAGGGTGAATCTGCAGACCTCTGAGGCCGGGGCAAGGACAGGGTGGGGACAGTGAGTGCTTAGCACAGCGTGGGCTCCCTGTCAAGTCAGTGATTGGGGGAGGCCCAGCTGGAAGCTCCTGGCTGCCTGTGATTCTGCAGCCTGGACACTGTAAGGTGGTTTTTCTTCCCTCCCCTCTTCCAGAATGAATACATGAAAGAAGACTTTTTGATTAAAATTGAAACCTGGCACAAACCGGATCTTGGCACCCAGGAGAATGTAAGTAGTATTTCCCAAGAGCCCCAGGACTTTTGGGACCAAAGGCAGGGTCTTAAGACTGTGCCTCATTTAACCTGGCTGTAGGGGCCTCTGTGCTGGTCTAAGCAGAGGCCATTACCTTCCTTTGCGGCATGGGATTGCAAATAGTGATCTCCAGGACGCTGTGTGAGCCTTCCTGTGGTGCTTGGAGTGGCCTAAAGTGCGCCTAGGGATTGCAGCTTGTTTAGAGCAAAGTTCACAGGAATCCCCCCACTTTGAGGATACTTGTCCTGTACCCATGCCCTTCCACTCCCCAGACGTTGTTAGACACTTCCTTTCTCATGTGTAAAAATAGCACATCTACAAGAAGAGTTTCCAGCATCCTTTGTATAGCCAAAGATGAAAACCATCAGAGCCCCTCAGCAGAACACCAGCAGAGAAACTGCGGCAGCCAAATAGTGGTCTGTGGTGCAGTCATTACCAAGAAGGCGGAGGGAGCAGCCTCTGATGCTACATTGTTCAGTGAAAAGAGCAAGCTCTAAAACAGCATTTCTGTTTTACCATTCTTATCAGTAATGAGGCAAGTGCGCATGCATGAATGCTGCGTGCCAGGCGGCATGGCAGTTCTTAAAGAGTAGGGCCCAGGGACAAGCAAGAGCAGGAACCACACTTTCATGTCCTCCCTTTTGGACATTTTGAACTTGGGTCTGAATTTTGTTATTACTTCTGTGTACAACCTGACCACAGTAAGAAGCGTGTGGCTGAGAAGGCAAGGTGCCCAGGAGTATCTCCAGCAGGAATAAATATGGGCACCTACCCACAGATGTGGGAGCTGGAGGGAGTGCTGAGGGGGTTTGGACCTGCTGGCATGGTGCTGGCCTGTGGAGTCAGCATACTCGTTCTCCGGTTTATGCCTACTTCAAATCCATTCTTCCATGGCTGGGGATTGTTTGGTACAGACAGAGTGTCCCCTATTCTAAATGCTTGGAACCAACAGTGTTTTCAATTTTAGGATATGTGCCTAGACACAGTAACACATCTTGGGTAGGACCCACATCTAAACACAGCCTATTCTTGTTTTTATGTCCATAGCCTAAAAGTAATTTTTTACTTTTTTTTTTTTTTTTTTTTTGCACAGCTAAGTTTTGGCTGTGACCCATTACCTGAGGTCAGATGTGTAACTTTTCACTTGTGCCACCATGTTGACTTGTAAAATATTTCGGGGTTTTGGGGAGTATTTCACATTGACTGGAGATGGTCAGCCTGTATCGGGTTCTTCACACCAGTTCCAGTCTTACACCTGGGGTTGCAGTAGTAGCTCTTCCTAGCTGGCCATTCTGCCTACTGAGCCAAAACTGCACAAAACAGCACGGTCTCCCCTCTTCCTGCAGGTGCATAAACTGGAGCCTGAGACATGGAAGCATGTGGAAGCCATATATATAGACATTGCAGACCGAAGCCAAGTACTTAGCAAGGTAGGAGCTATTTACAGATGTGAAAAGCCTTGTGATGCAGAAATGGCTCTAAATGTTTAGAGACACCAGGGACCCATATCCAGCTTGGCTGAAAAGCAAGTTCTCTTGGGCGGATATTACTTATGTTTTACTGATCATATTAAGAGAAAAATAGTAACCCCAATCTATGTGTCCTGTTTAGTGGCTGCAAATTATTAGTGGATAAAATAGGTGCTGCTGGTGAGAGTGTTTTACCTGTTGAAATGATGCTTAGCCCAAAAACCCAGAGCTCTAGTTCTCAAATGTAGTTTTCCAACTGAATAGTTAAAAAACGTTTCCTGGAGCAGGCATTTGGCACAGTGGTTAAGATGCCACTTGGGATGTCACATACTGTGTGGAGTGCATGGTCTGGGTCCCAGCTTTTCTGCTTCCATTCCAGCTTCCTGCTGCTGCACACGCTGGCGGGCAGCATGCGGTGGCTCAGGTAGCTGGGTTCCTGCCACCAGCTGGGAGACCTGCATTGGGTTCTGGGTTCTTGGCATAGACCTAGCCCAATCTTGGCTGTTGTAAGCATTTAAGGAATGAATCAGCCAGTGAAAGAGCTTGTCTGTCCGTCTCCATCTCTGTTTCTACCATTCAAAAACAGTGACATTTTCTAGTGAAAAAAGTTTCCTGCTTATTTTGGAATGCTGTCTTAGGATGGCTGTGCTATGAGTGAGGGATACAGACTGTTTGAGAAGCAAAGCCTCTGCCCTCCAGGAGGCGGAGACTTTTCAGAGTAGCAGACGCTGCAGCAGGTGCCTGCAGAAGCACCTCGTTGCTGGATCATAGCTTGGTGAAAACAGACTCCAGGATGGCTGCTCCTGCTTGCCTCACTGTGGGGTTCCCAGGAAGAATGTGCCTAGGAATGCATGTGCCCTAATGTATACTTTTAAAAAATACATCTTTTGGTCTAGCACAGTAGCCTAGTGGCTAAAGTCCTCACCTTACATGCACCAGGATCCCATATGGGCGCTGGTTTGTGTCCCAGCAGCCCCACTTCTCATCCAGCTCCCTGCTTGTGGCCTGGGAAAGCAGTAGAGGATGGCTCAAAGATTGGAATGCTGTACCCACATGGGAGACCTGGAAGAAGTTCCTGGCTCCTGACTTCAGATTGGATCGGCTCAGCTCTGGGCATTGAGGTCACTTCAGGATGGAAGATCTTTATGTTGCTTCTCTCTGTAAATCTGACTTTCCAATAAAAATAAATTTGTTTTAAAAAAAAGCATACAATAATAATCTTCGTAACTTTGAAGACCACTGTTAAGAATGGCTTGTTGTTTCAGGGTTTTTTTTCCCTTCATTTTTGTCATGTATCCATCTACCCATCTATCTAGCTGTTTATTTGAGAATGTGTCAAAGAGTCAGCCACTTCCCGTGTAGCAGCCAGGGTGAACTAGGCCAAAGCCAGGAGCCCAGAACCCAGTTTTAATCTCCCACATGGATGTCAGGAACACAGCTATTTGAGCCATCACTGCTGACTCCTGCATGCACGTCAGCAGGAAGCTGGAAATGAGGGCAGAGCCAGGACTCCAACCTCTCACCCTGATGTAGGATGTGGTATAGGACGCCAGAATTCTCTGGGACATGAGCTGCTCTTCCTGGCACCTGCCATATCTTCATTACTTGTGTTAAGCAGATGCTCTATTGAGTTTGCTCCTCCTTAATCCACCTTCGTCAATGTAGGGAGACAGCCACAATGAAACTCTTACTGTGGTTAATTAACATGTAGAATTGACTGTTTTATAAATCAGTGACATGTGACTGACCAAGTAATGTACAAGAAGATAGGTTCTATACATCAGATTTAAAAAAAAAAAGATTTATTTATTTTTATTGGGAAGATTTACAGAATGAAGGAAACAGAAAAAATCTTCTGTCTGCTGGTTCACTCCCCAAGTAGCTGCAACAGCCAGAGCTGAGCTGATTTGAAACCAGGAGCCAGGAGCTTCTTCCAGGGCACCCACACAGGTGCGGGGTTCCATGTGCTTGAGCCATCCGCTACTGCTTTCCCAGGCCACAAGCATGGAGCTGGAAGGGAAGCGGAACAACCAGGATTCGAGCCAGCACTCATATGGGTGCTGGTTGCAGCAGATGAAAGGCAAGGACTTTAGCCACCAGGCAACCGCGCTACCCTACTCATCAGACTTTTTTAAAAAATAGACTTGTTCTTACTCAGAAGGCAGATTTACAGAGAAGGATTTTCTATTCTCTGGTTCAGTCCTCAAATGATCACAACAACCAAATAAGCTAATCTGAAGCCAGAAGCCAGGAACTTCCTGTGGGTCTCCTATGTGAGTACAGAGGCCTAAGGGCTTGAACCATCCTCCACTGCTTTCGCAGGTCATAACCAGGGAACTGGGTGGGAAGTGGGGCATCCAAGACTAGACCATCACCCATATGGAATGCCAGTGCTTGGAGGCAGAGGATTAACCTGTGCTTTTTTTTTTAAGATTTATTTTTATCGCAAAGTCAGATACACAGAGGAGGAGACACAGAGAGGAAGATCTTATATCCGATGATTCACTCCCAAGTGGCCACAATGGCCGGTGCTGTGCTGATCAAAAGCCAGGCGCCAGGAACCTCCTCCGGGTCTCCCACACAGGTGCAGGATCCCACAGCTTTGGGCCGTCCTCAACTGCTTTCCCAGGCCACAGGCAGGGCGCTGGATGGGAAGCAGGGCTGCCAGGATTAGAACCAGAGCCCATATGTGATCCTGGCGTGTTCAAGGCGAGGACTTTAGCTGCCAAGCCACAGTGCCGGACCCCAGGATTAACCTGTTGAACCATGGTTCTGGCTCCACGTTTCTAATGGTGATTGTATTTAATAAGCCAGTGGAGGACTTCAGGGAAGGTGCTGTTTGTTCATACCCCTAACTCTATTTTGCAGTTACTGTATAGAGATTTTTTTTTTTTTTTCATTTAAAAATCCCTGTTGCCTCACCTGTAGATCCTCTCACTACTGGGTTTTGTGTGAGGTGGCCCAGAGATCTGTATTTTGAAAAGCCTTGCCAGGTGTTTGGATATTTAGGGTGGAAAGCTCTGTCTTACCCTGGTAGAAAGCAGACAAAACAGACCCTGGCAGGGAAGCATACTCAGACAGCCTTCTGGCAAATGTAAACGGCCCGCCTCTTGTTTGTAATTGTTTGTAACCTTGTGCCAGTAGCCTTAAAATGGGTGTGCCAGTATGCTGTGTATACTAATGGTCTCCCCTACTCCCTCTTTCCTTTTCTGCCTCTCTCCTCCATCCCTACTCTGCAATTTCAGGATTACAAGGCAGAAGAAGACCCCGCAAAATTTAAATCTATCAAAACAGGCCGAGGACCCTTGGGCCCCAATTGGAAGGTGCAGTTCTCACCCTGGCCCCCAGGGGATTCCCCAGGGTGTGGGTGGGCTGGCTGCGGTGTGGGAGGGGGGGCGTGGCGGGGGCTGGGGTCCGGACATCCTGAGGTCTGCCCTCCTTAGTTACAGGCCTGCCTGTGGGTATGTTTCTAATACAGCAAGAACTTGTAAATCAGAAAGACTGCCCCTATATGTGTGCGTACAAACTGGTTACTGTCAAGTTCAAGTGGTGGGGCCTACAGAACAAAGTGGAAAACTTTATACATAAGGTAAGTGTGGAGTTAACAGCCTCTCCAGTGGCCTCCCTGTGTGTGGGGTTGGGGGACAAAGTAGGGACAGGTTGTGGGGATCTTGGCCCAACAAGATCATACATGTCAGGTGGTCTGTGTCCTAGGGTTGCCTACGTTAGAACATTCCATGGTTTGGTTTCCCGGACCCCACTTTCTCCCGCCTTGGTATACCATCCAGGGGCTCCTCAAAGGGAACCAGAAAGGACTTGCTAAGGTAGAAGCATGACAACAACTCAAGACTGTTACGGAAGCTGGTAGGCCAGAGGCATGTGAGCCACATCCTCTGGCCACAGCTGCTCAGCTGGGCAGGCCTTGGAAAGTCTCTGACTGGTTAGGCTGTCCCTCCTGGGCCACCTCTTGTAGCCGTTGGCCTGTCACAACCTGCTGTTGGGCCCTGGCTGGGAGCTTGAGGACAGCCCGTCTGAGAAGTGCTCTGGATGGAGTGTCGTAGGGAGTGAAGGGCCGGGCCACGTACTTAGGAGCCTCAGAGACTGAATTGGACAAAGCTCACACCGCCAGTAAGTGTGATCATAAAGATTTCATTCTAGGAAGAGAAAAAAACATTTTTTTTTTCTTTTAAAGATTTATTTGTTTATTTGAAAGTCTTACCTGCCAGAGGCAGAGCCAGAGCCAGAGAGAAACCGTGACAGAGTTCTGGAATTTGGTTTTCTCAGGTTGCTCATTTAACCTTCAGCTGTGGGGGCAGGTGCTGGGCTTTGATCTAGGGGCTTCCTCCCCCCAGCCCACGCGAAGGTCTCCCTGTTAGGTGCATGGAGGCAGAAGTCTCTGGTCCATGGCTGACCCAGAAAGCTCTGGAAGAGGGTGTTTGTCTGTCCAAGAGCTGGGACAGCGAGCTGTGGCTGCGGCCTAGGCCATGCTGTGTCCTCACTCATTTCTCCTTTTTATAGCAAGAGAGGCGTCTGTTTACAAACTTCCACCGGCAGCTGTTCTGTTGGCTTGATAAGTGGGTTGACCTGACCATGGACGACATTCGGAGGATGGAAGACGAGACAAAGAGACAGCTGGACGAAGTGAGTGGGAGCCCGGCGGCACAGGGCCTTCAGTGCACCCAGCAGATGTGAAGGCCTCGGCCCTGCTGGGCACTTGGCTGAGCACGTTGCCCTGTGGTTGCAGGACTGTCAGTGTCTGCCATGGAGGAGGACATGCCAGATAGAATGGCCACATTTAGGCCAGACTCTCAGACTGAGAGGGGGCTTGAGGCCTTGGCTTGTCCCAGAAGTCAACATGGTGATACTGGAATGCTGTTTGCCCAGCAAGTGAGATGGCCTCCTTGAGCTAGGTGGAAAGTGGCCCTGGGGGCAGGCAGACTGTACTATAACCTCCACTGCCCACAGAGGACAGTGGTATCCTAGTCAGAAACTGTCTGTTCTAGAAGGTTCCTTTGAGTTCTTTTGAGAGTGTGGAGTCTTTGCTTTTCTCGGGGGGGCCTGGGCATGGATCCCAAGAAACCCTGACCACTGCACACCACTGCCTTACCTGAGGCTGCCTCCCTGAGCTGCCTCTGAGGGGAGGTTGTGAAACACTCAGGTGTGCCCTGGGTACCAGCACTGCTGTAGTGTGGCCAAGGGATGGGGGCTCTCAGAGCTCATGCCATTCCTTGCTGGAACATGGTCAGGATGACAGTGGCGGACCATCGCTCTCCCCTGCTCCTCCCTCAGGATGCTGTTTGAGGCCCTCCTGCTGTCTTGGGGCTGGAAAGAGGACAGGAAGCTGTGTTTCCTGAGAGCTTGTGTCCATTCCTCACAGCTTGCCACAGCTAGGGGTTGGCACGGAGCCCGAGTGTGCAGCAGAGGCCTTGCTTGCCGCAGCATTGCCTAGCTTTCTAGGAGGGCCCTGCGCAAGAGCCCTGCTTCCTGGTGCTAACCGGGGTGGAAGCTGGCCCCCACACCTCCTTCCGCTGGAGCCCACAGCACCTTTGGGAGTCTGGGAGTCTGCTTTCAGGCCCACTCACTGCCAAGTGCCGGGCTGTTAGTTCCTGGTGAAGGTGGGTGCTTGAGTTATTCCTTCAGCTGCATTTGGCAGTGAAATGGCAGGATTTGGGATACAACTCTTGATTATTCTTCTTTTTTTTTTTTTTAAGATTTATTTTTATTATTTTTTATTGGAAAGGCGGATGTACAGAGAGGAGAGACAGAGAGGAAGATCTTCCATCCGATGATTCACTCCCCAAGTGAGCGCAACGGCCGATGCTATGCCGATCCGAAGCCAGGAGCCTCTTACGGGTCTCCCACGCGGGTGCAGGGTCCCAAAGCTTTGGGCCGTCCTTGACTGCTTTCCCGGGCCACAGGCAGGGAGCTGGAAGGGAAGCACGGCTGCCGGGATTAGAACTGGCGCCCATATGGGATCCCGGGCATGCAAGGCGAGGACCTTTAACCACTTGCGCCACTGCGCCGGGCCCCTTCTTTTTTTTTTTTTTAAGATTTATTTATTTTACTTGAAAGCAGAGTTGCAGAGAGAGGGAAGAGAGGCAGATATTCCATCCACTGGTTTACTCCACAAATGGCTACAACAGCCAGAACTAGACCAATAAAGCTGGGAGCCAGGAAGCTCCTCTGGATCTCCCACATGGGTACAGGGTCCTAAGCCTTGGGCCGTTCTTCACTGCCTACCCAGACGATTAGCAGGGAACTGGATCAGAAATGAAGCAGCTAGGACATGAGCTGGCACCACATGGTGGAGGATTAGCCTGATACACAACCATGCCACCCCTACCCATCACTTTATACTTTCTTCCAGCTTTCTGATTCAAAAGCTTTGGTTAATCCATTAGTCAGTTATTGTGTTTTGTTTTAAGATTTATTTATATGTTTCCCTGGAAAGTCAAGTTTACAGAGAGGAGAAAGAGAAAGATCCTCTATCCACTGGTTCACTCCCCATGTGGTCACAATGGCTGGAGTTGAGCTAATCCAGAGCCAGGAACCAGGAGCTTCTTCTGGGTCTCCCATGTGGGTGCAAGGTCCCAAAGCTTTGGGCTGTCCTCTACTGCTTTCCCAGGCCACAAGCAGGGAGCTGGAAGGGAAGTGGAACAACCATTGGCACCCATATGGGATCCCAATGCATGCAGGGCAAGAACTTCAGCCACTAGGTTGCTACACCAGGCTCAGATTTACTTATTTTTATTGGAAAGTCACATATACAGAGAGGATGATATTCCATCCAATGGTCCTCTCCCCAAGTAGCTGCAACCACTGGAGCTGAGCCAATCTGAAGCCAGGAGCCTGGAACCTCTTTTGGGTCTCCCACGCAGGTGCAAGGTCTCAAGGCTTTGGGCCGTCCTCTACTGCTTTCCCAGGTCACAAGCAGGGAGCTGGATGGGAAATAGACCAGCTGCCTAGACCAGCTGCCGGGATTAGAACTGGCACGCATATGGAATCCCAGTATGTTCAAAGCAGGGATTCTAGCTGCTATGCTATTGCACCGGGCTCCTTTGTTAACTTTTGTTTCTGAGTCTTTCCAAGAGAGTATTTGTTCTGGGTGGTATGTAATAGGCATTGCCTAATAGTGTGTGGCTGGTATTGGTTCATTCCCAGGACTCTCTTAATCAGAAACTCTGATTTATTTTTTTTCTGGAAACCGTTGCTTTATTTTTAGCCTAATTTCTTTCCCCCTGTGTACTTTGCCCTTTATAAAAATTGTTTGCATTTGTTTTTGACTTAAGAGAGAGATTTATTCATTTGCATGTCAGAGTTACAGAGAGAGGCAGACAGAGATTTCCCATCTGCTGATTCACTCCTCAGATTGTCACAACAGCCAGCATGCTGGGCCGGGCAGAAGCTGAGAATCAGGAGCTCTCTGCGGATCTCTGGGTGGGTCGCAGGGGCCACACACTTGGGCCATCTTCCGCTGCTCTCTCAGATTTCAGCAAGGAGCTGGATTGGAAGTGGAGCAGCTGAGACACAAACCAATGCCTGTATGAAATGTTAACATTACAGCTCGCAGCAATTGTTTATATGAAAGGCAAGTTAAAGAGAGAGAGAAGGAGATCTGTCTTGCATTTACTCCCCAAACAGTTGCAACAGCCAGAACTGGGCCAGGTCAAAGCCAGGAGCCTGGAATTCCATCCCGTCTCTTATGTGTGTGGCAGAGGCCCAGGTATTGGTGACATCTTCCACGCAGAGCAGTTGGAACTTGCTTCAATGCCAGTTTTGCAAGCAGAAGCTTAACTTGCCTTCCCTTGGGGAGTCCTCCCAAGTTAACTTCTGTCTCTTCTGCTGGATTTAATTTTTTAATGATTTTTTAAATTTTATTGGAAAAGAGATTTTACAGAAAGGAGAGACAGAGAGAGAATCTTCCATCTCTTTGTTCACTCTCCAAGCAATGGCCAGAGCTAAGCCAATCTGAAGCCAGTAGCCATTTCTGTATCTCCCACACGGGTGCAGGGTCCCAAGGCTTTGGACATCCTCCTCTGCTTTCCTAGGCCACAAGCAGGGAGCTGGATGGGAAGTGGAGCAAGCAGGACATGAACTGGAGCACATACAGGATGCTAGTGCTTGCAGGCAGAGGATTAGCCAATTGAGCAATCGTGCTTGCCCCTGTTGAGTTTAATTTTTTTAAAGCATTTCTTGTTTTGTGTTTGTTTTTAAATGTATCTTTTTCTTATTCCTGCTTTTATTCTTTTCCTTTGTGAATCTAGCTGGGTTTTGCTTTTAGAGCTGTCAGAGCCCCTATGTGTCACGTCTGTTGGACTGTGGTAGATCTGAGGGGCGTTCTGCTAATCAGTAGGTGGTCTTCCCCTCAGTTAGTCAGCCACTAGTCAGCCCCAGCTTCCGGAGCCCGAATGGGGCTGCTCAAGTTGCCTAAAGAGAACTTTCCAGTGTCTGGCTCCAGGAACAAGAAAAGTAGCCTGCTTTCTGGGTCTCATGCTAGGGAGGGGCCTCAGCTGGCTTGCCATGCCATCCGACGAGTTCACTTCAATCCTCTCAGCCTACACATGCCCACCTCGCCCTCAGCTAAGCCAGAGTCACGAGTCGCAGCTTCCCTGGATGGAATGACCCTGCCACCTCTTGTTGCGGCAGGAGGCAGATAGCTGACTGACTCCCGAGGTAGAGAGGCGAGCGCTGCAGCTCAGCTGTCCCGTCTGGAGTTGGAAGCATTCTCCTGTTTTCAGCCCACCTGGCACACCCACCTCCAGAGGGGCTTGGGACTTCCGGTCCCCGAGCCTGTGAGGAGCTGCAGCATTAATTGCTCCTTTCTGGGCTGTCCATCTCGCCAGCTCCTGGGTCTCAGCTGCTGCTCAGCATACTAGTGGTTACTGCGCCACTCACTGTCCTCCGTCTTCCAGAATGTTTCACATCAGCCCTGCTGTGGTCTCCTTTCTTTTTGGTTTTCTGTTCTTGCAAACGATTTCTTTTTATCTGAAAGGCACATTGGAGAGAGACAGAGAGCAAGGTGGAAGACCTGTTTGTTCATTCCAAATGGCTGAAATGGCTGGAGTTGATCCGATCTAGTCAGAATCCAGAAGCTTCTTTGATGTTTCCCACATGGGTACAGGGGCCCAGTGACTTAAGCCAGTGACGGCGCTTTCCCAGGCTGTAAGCAGGGAGCTGAATCAGAAGAGAAAAAGCTGGGACATGAAGCGGTGCACATACGGGATGCTGGAGCTGTGGTGGATTAGCGTGTTATGCCACTATACCAACCCATATTTTTATGGTTTTAGATTTTTTTCTAATTCCTTTGCTCTCATTGTGTCAGGATTTTAGGAGGAGTAAAGACAAGTACATATGTTCATTCTGCAAAAATTAACTACATATAGCTGTTATTTAAATACGCACACACATAACTTATTTAAAGACGAGAAAGCTACAGATATTCCATCTCGTTTCATTCTCCAAATGCATATGATGACCAGGGTTGGGCCAGGCAGAAGCCAGGAACCGGAAGCTTCTTCCCAATCTCCCAAGCAGGCACAGGAGCCCAAGCACTTGGGCCATCTTGTCCTGCTTTCCCAGGAACCTTAGCAGAGAGCTGGATCAGAATTGGAGTAGCTGGAACAGGAACCAGTGCCCATACGGGATGCCAGCACTGTAGGTAACAATTTTGCCTGCTCTGACACAGCTCTGGGTCCCACAACTGTTGTTGTTGTTATTATTTTTTTAATTGGAAAGGCAGATTTACAGAGAGAAAGATCTTCCATCCTCTGGTTCACTCCCCAAGTATTACAACAGCTGGAACTGAGTCATTCTGAAGCCAGTAACTAGGAGCTTCTTCCAGGTCTCCCACGTGGGTGCAGGGTCCCAAGGCTTTGGGCCGTCCTCTACTCCTTTCCCAGGCCACAAGCAGGGAGCTGGATGGGAACTGGAACAGCCATTAGAACCAGCACCCATATTGGATCCTGGCACTCAGAGTTTAGCCATTAGGCTACCGTGCCTGGCCCAAAATGTGTTCAAGAACAAAAACTGAACAGGAAATGAATTAGAAGTAAGCACTCACTTTTTGACACTGTGCAAACAGAAAAGAATTTTCAAGTCGGATAATTTGAGAGAGAGATCACGGCCACAGTATCCCCAGCAAGGTATGCATGCTTCAGCCTCAGTGATGGCAGGAACAGGGACTCCTCGGGCTTCTCGCCTGCTCTCCAGCAGCTTCACAGTTGCACCCAGGGACGTGTGCCCCTCATAGCTGCTGCCCCTGTGTCCTGACAATGCGCTGTGATGCCACCTTGTATCCGAGCTCCATGGGAACTCGTCTTCCCTGTGTCTGGGAATGCTGTTCCCTGGACAGCCACAGGTATTTTTTGTTTTTTCTCTCTCACATCCCTGAGGTCTCCTCCAAGACCTCTTATCAGGAAGGCCTTCCTTGGCCAGTTTACCAAAGAGCACTTGCTGGGGGTCAGCACAGGTTGAGCCTCCACCTACAATGCCAGCATCCCATAGTGCCAGTTCAAGTCCTAGATGTCTGCTGCCAATCCAGCTCCCTGCTAATGCTCCTGGGAAGGTAGCAGAGGATGGCCCACATCCTTGGGCCCCTGCCAACCAGGTGGGAGACCTTGATGGAGTTCTGAATCCCCTTAGCTTTGGCCCGGCCTGGCCTGGCCCTGGCAGTTGAAGTCAGTTAGGAAGTGAACCAGTGAATGGAGGATCTCTGTGTAATGATGCCTTTCAACTGAACCCATCTTACTATAAAAATAAAAGAAACAATTGCCCATAATCATCCTCTGTCCTACCACACATATGGTCTTCCTCCACCCTGCTTCACTATATGTTCCGTTCTCCTGTAGATTCCAGTTTATCAAATCTAATCCCCCAGAGTGTACAAATGCAATTTTAAAAAACAAGTATGAGGAAGCTTGGCCAGAAGGCTTAAGCTGAGATGTTGGGTCAGTGTCCTCATTGTCACCCAGAAGTCAGATGGTCCCTGGGGAGAAGGACCATTCTTTCCCCCACCCAAGGTCCTCCCCCTGCCTGCACCCAGGTTCTGTGTAGCCTTGCTCATCTGAGGGGAGGGCCCTGTCTGTGCAAGTACCCCCAGTTCTGTGGAAATCCTGGCACAGAGGGGATGCCTCCGAAGTGCTCGTTGCATGAATGAGAGGAGGAGCCTGAGAAGTAACTGCAGCTGATGCAGAAATTATCGATGGTGGGACCAGTAACTGCTGTAAACAGCACGGTTTTGGCTACAAGGCATGGAGACTTCTAGTCTGATTTCCTGCTTTGGGCCCAAAGAGTACCCCATCCTGTTTCAGCGGCAGGAGAAGGTAGGTTTCTTTATGATGGAGCCAGAATCTTGCATTTTTCTTTTTTTCTGTTACAGATGAGACAAAAGGATCCAGTGAAAGGAATGACAGCAGATGACTAAAGCCACCCCTCCCCCTTCTGCACTGTATGTACTGAATTTCTAACTGTGCATGTCCTAGGAACTCAAATCAGGCTGAGTCCTCAGGGTCCCCGCAGCTCCACAAGGAGTCAGAAAACATGGCTCATCCTCCCCTTTCGTATTGACTGGGAACACGTTCACAAGGAACTGTCCAGACAGATCCACGGATGAGGGGCAAAAGGCCAGGGGGAGGTGAAAGCTCTGTTGTGCTGCTGGTCACTCACGCAACTCGACCTGCGTTAGTGCTGAGGCTGCCATACTCGGGCACCCCCTGTAGCCCCCACACCAGAGCCAGCTCCCAGTTCCCAAAAGCGAGTGTGCCCTGCCCCAACCTCAGGAAACTCGCTGGCCAATCACCTTTTCTTAGCTCCCGTCGAGCCTGGTGTGGTGCTCCTCCCTGGTCCTCCTTGGTCCAACGCTAAGTAGTTGTCTCCAGCAGAGGCATCTAGCAGTGCTGTGCACGCTTCTGCCCAGGTCTTGGGACCTGGGTACCCTCCCTCCCCCACGTTCCTGCTTCCCAGTGCCCCGTATACCTCATCATTCCAGCAGCAGCTCAGAGTGGACTCTGTACTGTTACCCATCATCCCCCCTATTTTTATCAAGAAGTAGCTGTGCTCACATTAACAGGCCAGGGAGGGCTGAGGGCTCTTCCACAGCGATGCTACCCTCTGCTCTCTCCCTGCCCTCACACTCTTAGAGCAGCCTCTAGGGGATACAAGGACAGGACTAAGTGCTGACAATAGCTTCCCAGTCACCACTCAGGCTGGTGCCCTCAACCCATACTCCCCTCTCCACCAGCTGGCATCCCTCCTTGCTTTTCAAATGCCCCCACTAAGGAAGATGAATACTTTGTTTCTGTTTCCCCCTGTGGCTTCTTTAATAATCGTCTTTCTCTTCTAGTTTTGCAAGACGGTGGTCAACAGGAAGGCCCAGCGGCTCCACCCTCCCGTGTGACAGGCCATCTTTGGACACAGCCTTTCTGTGCCCATTCTTCAGGCAACTCTCGACCCCTTCTGTAGCGAATTCTAGATGTCCTTTACCATTGTGAACAAATAGACCGCCTGGTATTACCAAGCCCGTGTGTGCAGGAGCCTGCTCCTCTGAGATACGTGGCTTGTAGATCGCTGTATGTACAGCCCCTCCCCCTCTCTCCATTGTGTTCCGGCCCTGTTGCTGTGTGTGCACCCACCTTTATTTCCAAGTGACATTTTTAGTCTTTCAAAATAGCTGCCTTTTGTGATGTGGTGATTGAAGTTCATTTTGTCTTCAACCTTGGGATACACTGAGGTATCTTTGCTTCCCCTGGGGCAGATCTTTGCCGTCTGGAGCGCTCACCTGGGGGAAAGGATGCAGTCAGACACAGAATTACCCCCAGTTCCACAGCAGAGCAGTGTGGCTTCCTAACTCTGACCTCTGCTTCCATTAACCAGTGGTTAGAGTGCTCCAAGCACCACGGAGGTACCCAAGGCCCAGCCAGTCTCCATTGTAGAAAATTTAACAAGTACAAACACCCCCTGCCCCAGGTATCGCATCCCTAATGACTGTTCTGAATAGGAACAGCTACGGCTTCCAGGCCCTCCCATTGCCTGTGTAGATCTGAAGCGGCTACAAAGCACCCCTGACTGGGGTGGTCAGCTCTCCACCTGGATGGAATTGTCCAGTGCAGCCCCCTAGGCTTGAGTCTGCCCCTGTCTCCTGGTCCGTCTGACCCCGAGGAGCTCCATGCATCTAAGCTCCTCTTCCCTCGGGCTGGTGCTGCCACTCAGCAATAATCCTCCTTCCCCTGAGCTCCCTCAGGTCCCTTGAGGTTGGTTAGAAAGTGGGAGTCCTGATCTTTACCAGCTGCACAAAAAATGAGCATGCAAAAAGCTTTTTTTTTTTTTTTCTGGCAGAATACGTTCCTTCTCCGAGTTCCTGGACAAGAGTCTGGGGGTTGAGGAACTCAGCCCTTTCTGCTCCTGTGCTGAGTTCTATCCTAGACAATCCAAAGCCAATAACGAGCATAGTGTAGGACTCAACCAAAGCAGACTGGTGAGGAAGCCCAGGCTGCAGCAGCCTGGGGAAACTGCTTGAGTAGTCCTGCAGCCTGACAGAGAGCCTCAGGATGCCTTTCTAGTGGGCGAGTCTGAGAGTGCTGTGGGGTCACCTGATGTTTCCCCAGCCTCCGTGTGCAGTGATCCCTCCCAGGCTGGCCTGGGTGCCTCTGCTGAGAGAGCGGATTTCCATGGGGGAGTGAGACATGGGGTGGGATAAATGATCCTTATGTTTGCCTTACTCATTTCTAAGTGCAATAAGGGGGTGTTCTCCCAGGACTTCACCTGGGACATGCTGCTGGATGCTTCCCCATGGCTCTCCCGGGGCAAGGGCGGATAGACTCGGACCCCTCGCATGGTTGGCTCTGACCTTCCCTGTAACAGCACAGTGTCCTGTACAGGCACCTCCCTCTGTATTGGGTTCCTCCCCCTTGGGGGTCTTTAATAATGGATCTGGAGCATTTCAGTGGGTTATTAGCATCTCAACTGCTGGTAGCATTTATCTGACTGAGAATGTTGGAGAAGAGGCATTCCTACTGGGAAAAAAAATGTCAATGCTTTCCTACAAACTCTGTACTAGCTATTAATTATACTCATGCTTAAAAATGTTCCTTCTTCATTCATCAATTAGGTGAAGTCCAGATATGGGTCCTCTTGGGAAAAGCCCACTAAGCTGACCTTAAGCAGATGGTCAGCTCAGCAGACACTGGTCTTGCTTCAGCCCCTCTGCTTCAGCCCCTCTTGGAGAGGCACACGCATCTTACCAGCCTGGTGGGGGCGTGCTCTCTGTTGGCCTTGTCTCTGGCTCCTCCCAGCTCCCACCTACTGCCCCAGTTTGAAAGCATCCAGTTCAGCTGGGGCTAGAATTCCTGGGGTCAGCTTGGATCTGCCCCCGTAAGCATCAAGGACAACTGTCCCTGGTCTCTTGTGCCCTCACGAATGGCGTTGCTGCTGGGCAACAGCGTTGGCGTCTTTTAAATTTCCCTGCACCCCCCCCCACCTGACCCATAACCTGACTAGCACCAGAGGGGCTCAGGATCAAAGGCTCAGCTCTGGGCATAGCACCTAGAGTGTGCCATTCCCTGCACACCAGCTGGTTCCTTTTCACTTCCAGGGTTACAGAAGGGGCACTGAGCTCTGGTGGACCAGACAAGGGCAGTGTGGTGTGTATTACCCTCTCTAGTTCTTTTACAGTCCCTCCTGGGATGCCCTGACATTTTGGTTGATTATTAGTGCTACTTCTTTACAAACTACACTTTGTAGAATTGATTAGATCACCTTGTTTATTTAATGTGAGTTTGTGCCTTTTTGTCTCAATCTTCCAATAGTTATATTGGGGGGAAAAGAAAGCAGTCTAATAAAGTCCTAGACAGCTACTTATTGGTGATGTTTTTATGTCCAATTTTTACAACTTAGATAGCCTCAAACTCTTAACTGATGTCCCCCATTTTTATTTATTTATTCTTATTGGAAAGGAAAGGCTGAAATACAGAGAGAAGGAAAGAGAGAGGAAGATCTTCTGTGTGAAATGGCCATGATGGCCGGAGCTGAGCTAAGCTGATCTGAAGCCAGGAGGAGCCAGGAGCTTCTCCCAGGTCTCCCATGCAGATGCAGGGTCCCAAGACTCTGGGGGCTCTGGCTGCTTTTCCAGTCCACAAGCAGGGAGCTGGGTGGGGAGTGGAGCAGCCGGGACTAGAACTGGTGTCCATATGGACTCTTCGTGCTTGCAAAGCGAGGATTTAGCCAGTGAGCCGTTGCACCAGGCCCCACTGAAACCCCTCCCCCCCTTTTTTTTTTAACCAGGACAGGACAAGAGGTCTCTGAAAATTTTTACTGTGGGTTTCCATAAATAAAATCATTTCTTTGTTCAATTGAGAAATCACAGTAATCTTGGTCTTAAATGTGGGACCCAACAGAAGCAGTGCTTTACTGTCCATCCACTGATGCCTAATGTCCCGGGAGGCCGTGTCTTAGCGGGCAAACCCATGAATCTGAAACACCCGGGGGGCCACGAGAGGGTGGGGACAGGGACCCGGGGCGCGTGCGCCACCCGGACAGGACCCCGCGGGCTCCCGGGGCGACAGCGGCCGGCACAAGCCCAGGGCCCCACAGGCCTCGCCCGGGTGGGTGGACGCGGCTCCCCGGGGCGGGCGTGGCCAGCGCAGGGCAGGCCGGGAGCCGCGGCCAGTGTTACGTCGCGCGCCGGGCACGCCTCGCCGACCGCCCGCTTCCTACCGCTCCCTCGCCTCGGCTCGCGCCGCCCGCGCTCCGGGGACCCGCCTCCTCCGGGTCCGCCCCTTACGGAAGCCGAGGAGGACGGCCCGAATCCGGAAGGAAAACAGTGGGCGAGAGCAAGGCGAGGCGGCGCAGACATGGAGGCGGACCCCGGCGAGTGGGCCGACAACGAGGAGCTGGAGCCGGAGGACGGTGGCCCGCCGGACTCCTTCGAGAGCGCCATGGCCACCCTAAACTTGGGAGATTACAGTGGGCCGAACATCTGGAAGCTCGGGTGAGCCGGAGGGGTCTGCTACGAGTCGGGCGCTGCCTTCACCCTCCTGGTGTCGGGGCATCTAGGGTCTGACCAGCCTGAGAAAGGAGCGGGCACAGGCTCCTAGGGCGGCCCCTCAGGTTCTCGCAGGCCAGTGTCGAGTAAGGGGGTGGTGACAGGGTCTGAGCTTTGCGCCCCCTGCTAAAGTCGGGCCGCGGTGTCCATGGGGACACTTCCTTTGCAAGGATGTCCCGGTTGGTTTCTGAAGCGGTGGCAGTCAACAGCACCCCCCGGCATTCGCCCCTTGTTGCTGCCTGTGAATAGCATGTACATCATGGGACCTGCCTGATCCCGTTATGACCTCCGGAAATCGGGAATCAGCTTTAGATAAGACCTTTCGGTGAAGCCCACGTCGTTGCCCTGTCTCATGCCAGTGCTTTGAGGAGAAACCATGCTAATCTCCATCTTAGTGTAAGTCACGAGCATGGATTTGCTCCTGATCATGGGCCTTGAGAGGGAGGACATGAAATCCCCACTTTGGGTCAGCAGCCACTTAGCGCAGGTGCCTGGCGCGGGCTCAGCAGCCACTTAGAGCAAGGCAAACATGGAGCCTTTGAGTGTGAGAGGGCTTACTTACTCCTCAGATGGACAGCAGGGGGAGATCGTAAACAAATAAAGGCCACTCAGTTCCGAGGAAGGTGTGTTTTTGTTTATGTACCTTCATGGGGGGTGGGGGGCGGTGGGAAATTGCTGTAAGCTTGCCAAAAATTTCTTCAAGTCGTGTTCTCTAAACAAGGACCTGTGATAGAGGTGTTGGAGGGCAGCGTGTCCCCGCTGCTGCAGCCGGTCCTCCTCACAGTGGACCCAGGGCTCCCCTGAGGCTTGGCCCCTGTGCTTGGTCGCTGTGGGATCTGCATCGCTCGCTGTGTGACCCAGTCTGGGACTGCCTGGGAAGAGTCCCATAACTGTTGGCGGTCTCTTATTCCCTCCTGGTCCCCAGCCTCTGAGTTAGTTCACTTGCTTCCCTAGAACCCAACAGAGGTGGAGAATATTCCCCCAAATGATGGAATTCCCAGGGGAGGGGTAGACTCTGGGAAGATGCTGAGAATTACGGAGTTCCTGCTAAGTGTGAGGCAGCATTGGTTGCGCTGGGGCTATGCTAGCAGAAGTAAGTAAGAGCTGTTCTCTCTGTTACTGTGAAATATTCCTGTCTGGACCCCTCGCTGAGGTGTCTGACCTCTTCTCTGTTCCCACCCCAACCTTCCTGGTGGTTTCAGAATTGGCTAGGGCAGGAAGGGGATGGACAAGGTATGGATGGCCAGAGGGCCTGATGAGTTTCAGGAACACTGGCTATTTGTCCAGACCCCCATCCCTTCCCTTGCACAACCCAACAGCCTTTGAGCCAGAGCCAGCAGTACCCGTGCTGCTGACGTTGGGCAGCTGTGTGGCTGCATGGAGGAGCCAGGCTGGGGTGGAGATTTCCTGCTTTAGGAGACAAAGCTTGAAGGTCACTGCCCCGCTCCCACCACCTGATACAGACACAGCAGCTGTCTGCAGGACACCCAGGGGCAAGCCTCGGCTGCTGTCCGTGCTCCACCATGCTCTCTGACTTCTTTCTTCCTTGCTTCTTTAGTGTGCACGTGGTGACGTGGAACGTGGCTTCAGCAGCACCTCCCGAAGACCTCAGTGACCTGCTTCAGCTGAACAACCAGGACCTCAACCTGGATTTGTATGTTATTGGGTATGTGTCTGTAGGGACCCCCTTCTCCCGTCCCCATGTGTCTGAGGTCAGATGAGCCTGAGCAATTCCCAGATGTCCCCACAGGGACCTGGTCCTCCCTCGCTGCAGAGGCTGTGGCCAGGAGCCAGGGAACCTGATGGGATATCTGCCCGTCCAGTGTCTCTTGTCCTGGGTCAGCAGTGGCAGGGAATTAGAGGTCAGTAGCCAGGCAGCCAGGGGAGGGAGGACGTGAGAGTTGAAGTGTACTGAGAACAGTGCTGTGCGTCCCTGGCAGAGGCAATAACCTTGGCCCAGGGGCAAGCCTCTGACCCGGGATGGTCAGTTTGCAGGAAATGAACTCGGGGATTATAAGCTTCCTTTCCGATACTGCCTTTGAAGACCCATGGAGCAGTTTCTTCATGGATGTGCTTTCCCCTCTGAACTTCGTCAAGGTAACTTACAAGTTCATGGGGCTAGAGAAACGAGACATTTGTCTCTCCTCAGCTGAGCCCCAGGAATTGGTGTGATGTGTTCCTGTTACTCCCAGTCAATCCTTTGGTGATATCTCTCAGTCACTGAGAGTTTATTTATTCTCTTAAAATGATTTATTTATTTGAAAGGCAGAGTTAAGAGATAGGTATTGCAGCCACTGGGTTCACACCTCACATGGCCACAGCGGCCGAAGTAGGGCCATGCTGAAGCCAGCAGTCAGGTGGCCGGGACCTAAGCACTCGGGCCACCGTCGCTGCCTTCCCAGACTCATTAGCAAGAAGCTTAACACAAAGCAGAACAGTGGGCACTCCAGCTGGCACTGTGGTATAGGATGCCTACATCTTATCCCACAAGCAACAACTTAATCTGCTGCACCACAGGCTGGACCCCGTCTGAGAGGCTTAAGGCTTGCTAACTGCTGATTCACTGGGCTCCCTGCTTTGTGCCTTTGCACCTTGTCAAGAGCGAGCTGGGTGGGGCTCCAGAGATTCCTTTAACACCTAGAAATGCGTCAACCTGGAGGGCTTTTGGGGCGGGGGTAGGGGGGCTTCTCCCTCCCCAAGCCTCCAGTCACTCACTATTCATGCACCCATCCTAAATTCTAATAGTGTCGTAATAATTCTTGCCATTAGTCAATTCGTTATTTAGTGTTGTGTCTCATAAATAAGCTCTAAGCTCTTTATCTATATTATTTTTAAATCTTAGAAAACAAAAAAAAAAACCAGCCTTGACAACTCTCCTTAAATAAGGTATTCTACAAATGAAACCGCAGCTCAGAAGCCTTGTGAGCTTCTGGAAGCTAAGTCTTCCAGTGTTCATAAGCCATATTCTGAAGATCCGTACTTACTGTTAACGTTGCTGGGCGTTAACACTTGACAGGTGTCTCACAGCTGCTCTGTCCCCCAGTCACAGGGGAAATGCACGCCACGTTTCTAGGGGTCCCAGTGGTTAGCCCACAAGAGATAGGAGTGGGTCTTAGAGAAACCAGTGTACTTTTGGGGACCCTTTAGGCACCCTTTAGACCAGGGTTAAGGAGTCATTTTTATTATTGTTGTTGTTGCTGTTAAGAGGAAGATCTTCCATCTGATAATTCACTTCCCAAGTGACCACAATTGTCAGAGCTGAGTCAATTCAAAGCCAAGAGCTTCTTCCAAGTCTCCCACACGGGTGCAGGGTCCCAAGGCTTTGGGCCGTCCTCGACTGCTTTCCCAGGCCACAAGCAGGGAGCTGGATGGGAAGTGGGGCCACTGAGATTAGAATCAGCGCTCATGTGGGATCTCGGCACACTCAAGGCAAGGACTTAAGCCACTGGGCTACTGCGCTGGGCCCTAGGAAGCCATTTTTCTGCCAAGGACCCCTTGAATGTTTAGGACCTCATTCATGGGCCATAGGAAATTATCAACTTAAAAATTAGCCTGTCATACTGGCTAGATGTCTTGCTCCCTCCCCCACTCTAGCCCATAGGAGAACCCACAGGCAAGCTCAAGGTTGCTGCGTTTTTAACCTTGTTTCTTTTCTGCACACCTGACTGATAAAACATGTTCCCATGGCTTGAAAATACCAGAATTTTCTATGCCCTTCCTTTGGTGGATGACTGTTGATCTTTAGAATTAATTTGTTAGTCTGCTTTCCCAGAGAGCAAGGTTGGGGGCTGGAGCTGTAGGGCAAAGGCGGTATCCTTCCAAGGAGGAAGAATGGGAAGGAGGAATACAAAGTTTTGTTCTCCTGAGGCTAGAAAATGCCACACACATACACACCCACTGAGCGCTTGGTTCTCTCCAAATCAAATCTGAATAAATAAAACTGTACCCCATGGAAGGTGGAACCATTTGTTTTTTGTCACCTCCCTTGCCAGGGTCTCACAGGCCTCCTGCCCCTTGGCTGAATGGCGAAGGGTTGAGAGGATGGAATTGGGCCAAGGAAATGAGCTCAGCTTGTGGCAAGCACACAACCCATTTGACCCTGTGACCTCCTGGGATCAATCAGCTGCTCTGAACGCCCCTCATTCCCCCACCCAAGAAGTGGGGTGAGGGGCACACCCTGTATCCAGCCTGGGTTTTGGGGGAGAGCAAGCATGGGTTGAACATCCTAAGGCTAACCCTGTTTGCCTGTTGCCCGGACACCCAGCCCCTCCTGCCCCTCCTCTCTCTAATTCCTCTGCTGTTCTTGCCTTCAGCTGACATTTCCCTTTAAAGTCTCCTGCTTTTCTCCAAGCCTCCCCCCCTTCTGCTAGTGTAACCTTGCCCTGTTCCCACCCGTTCCTCCCCCACTTCCTGTGGCTCCTTCACAAGGTGGGCTACGGTCTACATGGCTGAGCCTAGTCCTAGGCCTTAACCTGCTCTGTGAGTTAAGGTTCAACTTGAACCTACTTGTGAGCCTTTATCAGAGCCCTGGTTGCACAGGGGCAGATGGAACCTGGGGTGAAGGGTAACTGGTGCCTGGGCACCTAGTGGTGACTGCTGGCCAACCCCGGGTCCTGACGTGCAGTCCTGCTTCACTCCCAAGTTTGTGGTTCCTTCTGCTTTGCCTCCTGCACAGCGCTACAGCTCTTGGCCTGGGGGATCCAGTTTCATAATTCCTGGAAGGCCCTAGAACACGCTCCCCACCCGGGGATTTCCTTCTTGGCTTCTATACTTCATGCTCCGGAAACAGCTCCTTAAGTGGTGGGTGTAGACAGCCGGATCCTGAGAGAGAGGTGCCTGGCTGAGACCCATTCCCACCAGAGGGTAAAGCTATGGGAAATCCAGGCCCTGACACCGTTACCCAGACCGGCCGCAGCCCCCCAGAGTCACCACAGGGGACATTGGTGGCCCGTGGGCTTGGAGGAGGAAAAAACACGGGAAGGCCTTGCAGTAGTGCTTAACTGCTCTCTGACCCCTGCTGTCATCTGCACCCTCACTCTCCTCCACACGCCTCGTCTCTTTGGACAGCAGTTGCTTACAGTAAGTGAGGAGTTGAGGGGGACACTGTCTTAGCTTTCTTTCCCCCACAGTACACCAAAGTGTGCTGAAATTAAGTGTATGATTGGGTGAATTTAAATAATTTTTTAAGATTGTATTTATTTTTATTGCAAAGTCAGATATACAGAGAGGAGGAGAGACAGAGAGGAAGATCTTCCATCTGATGATTCACTCCGCAAATGGCTGCAATGGCTGGATCTGAGCTGATCCAAAGCCAGGAGACTGGAGCTTCTTCCGGGTCTCCCATGAGGGTGCAGGGTCCCAAGGCTTTGGGCCATCCTTGAGTGCTTTCCCAGGCTACAAGCAGGAGGTGGATGGCAAGCGGGGCCTCTGGGATTAGAACTAACACCCATATGGGATCCCGGGGCCTTCAAGGCAAGGACGTTAGCTGCTAGGCTATTGTGCTGGGCCCAGTTATTTTTTATTATTATTATTATTATTGTTTCAGTTAATTTGACAGAGGAGTAAGAGTTCCTGTGTGCCTGATCATTCCTCAAATCCTCATACCCCAGCCAAGTTGAGGCCTAAACTAGAAGCAAGGAGTCTAATCAAGGCTGTCTCCCCCTCATCCCCCATGCTACTGTGGGAGACGGGTGCCTCAGCCAGAAGGGCCAGAAACCTGTCGCTTGTTATAATTTAAAACTGATTGTATTAATTAATTATTTAATTGAAAGATGGACAGAAAGAGGGAAAGGTCTTCCACCAGTGGTTCATTCCCCAGCTGCCCACAACAGCCAAAGCTGGGCCAGGCCAAAGCCAGGAGGCAAGAAAACAGACTGGCTGGAAGGTGTAGGCAGAGAGCCAAGTGCTGGAGCCATCCCCTGCTCCTCCCAGGATGCGCATGAGCAGGAAGCTGGAATCGACAGCAGATATGGGACTCCAACCCAGGCACTTTCAGTCCAGACACTTGGGGCCATTCCAAGCAGCAGCTCCCGCCGTGCCAAGTGCCTGCCCAGCGTGGTGACTTTCCAGGTGTTTCCACACATCCTTGTTACCATCCACCAAATGAAGATATAGGATATTTCTGATACCCTCTCATGTTCCTTCCTTGGATTTATTTTTTTAAGCTAAAAATTAATAGCTGTCAGATAATCCTTGCAGCATATGTTCGATTGCGTTATTCGTGCTTTATCCGTGAGAAAATAGCGTGAGTCACTTGCACAATAGCAGATCTCAAGCAGGAAGATCGAGATGTGGACCTAGATCTTCCTAATACTTTAGCCACTGTCCTGGATCACCATAGTTCTCTTTGAGGCCCTGACCAGCAGGGTCCCTGCCCAGGAGGGTAATCAGGATGTCAGGATGACGGTGCTAAGGGGAGCAGTTCAGTCCACTTGGAGCAGAAACTGAAACCTGGGGCCTGAAGTGTGTCATTTGGCAGCTGACGGAAGGAAGGGAGTAGCCAGGATTGCAAAGGCCCTGCAGCAGGACACTGTGTGTAGCGGCACCCCCAGCAAGGACACTCTACCTGTGCAGGTAACAAATGACCTTTGCCCTCACTCTCCTGCAGGTCTCCCATGTCCGCATGCAGGGGCTTCTCTTACTGATCTTTGTCAAGTATCATCATCTACCCTTTATCCAGATCCTCTCTACGAAGTCCATCCCCACTGGCTTGTACGGGTACTGGGTAAGGACCGAGTAGCTATCTGAGTCCTGGGCCAGGAAAGGCTGGGAGCTTGAGAACTGGGTAAAAGGAACACCCAGTGAAATGAATCCTGGGACATTGTCCCACCCACAGTCCTGCATGCTCATTCTCCTGCCTCAGAGGGAACGTGGTATCCAAGACCCAAGGCTGGATCAACCAACCTGGGTGCATAAAGAGACGACCCTGGGAAGCCGGCTGGCTGGCCCTGAGACTTTCTGTCCTGACACCCAAGAGGGAGAAAACAGGGGTCTCGATGCAGTCCAGAGTGGCTTCCCACCCTTCTGCCCACCCATCCTCCCAGGGCAATAAAGGGGGCGTCAACATCTGCCTGAAGGTTTACGGCTACTACATCAGTGTTATCAACTGCCACCTGCCTCCCCACGTGTCCAACAATGACAAGCGGCTGGAGCACTTTGACCGGATCCTAGAGATGCAGAATTTTGAGGAACGTGGCATCCCCAACATCCTGGACCATGAGTGAGCCTGGAGCTGTAACTGTCCACTTCCCTGCCTGGGGCTGACCCTGCCTCCCCTTTTCTGCCCAGTCACAGCTCCTCGGAGTCTGTCAGGGCTCTGCCTCCCAACTTCCCCTGGCCCCTCCCTGTGGTCCCCTCTGTTGTCCCACCCAGCTTGGCCTCCCTAGAACCTGCTTCCTGCAGTCCTCCTAGCCTGCCTGCAAACCTTCTTAGCAACCCTCATCAAGAACTTACGGGGCTCCTGAGGTCACCGGAAGGACTGTTTCTCAGCCCTTTCTGGTGACTAGCTGATGACAGGGAGTTGGGGATGAGGGGGCGGATAGCTGGAGATTGCTCTGTGTTTGCCATATGCCTTCCAGGCTGCTCTCTGCCCCTCAAGTGGTGGCACGGGGATCCTGAGCACAGTCCTGCCGGTTCCAGGCCTGCTCATCTCCACAGGGTCTTTCCCCACCCCCCTGGCTTCTCCCTGGCCCCCTCCCTGGCGTTCCCTCCAGCACCCTGGGATTGAGCAGGCTGGAGCTCCCCGAAGTGCCTCCCTTCTCTTACTGCATCACGGACCCTCAGGCAGCCCTCCTGTCTTTCTGAAGCCTCATCCTCTGGTTTGGAGACATGAACTTTCGGATCCAGGATTTGGGGCTGCACTTTGTTCGACAGTGCATATCAAATCAGTACTTCAGTTCCCTGTGGGAGAAGGATCAGGTACTGAGTGCTGGATGGTCCGGGGGGCAGGCAGGGATGGGAGCCACTGTGCAGACCCAGGGAAGTGTGTTTGCCAAGAGTGGCCCTCGCCTTCCCTCAGTGGTGGGCGGGGGAGAGCCTGCAGGGCTTCACCTGCTGGTACCTGAACTTCACTGGGAACAGCTAGGTGGTCACTGCTGCGGGATGCAGGCTGGAATAGGAGCCCACAATTTTGGGCCTGCCATGGCCCCACACCATGTGCCAGCCCATGCGTGTCCCTGTTGTCTTCCATCCCCCACTTTATTTCCTCCTAGTGGATGAGACCCTACCTCTTTGGGGGATCCTGGCTACAGAAAGCTACCCCCTAACACTTGTCTGCTAGTGAGTCCCAGAGAGTAGGAATTCTAAGCATGGTCCCTTGTAGTCAACGACTGAGAAGTGGGGTGCTGTTTCTAGAAGAGTTGGGGCTGGGGCAGAGGAAGAGCATTGCCTGACTTGGGCCCCCTTAGGTTGACACATGCTGACCCCCTGGATGGACTGTGGTGCCAGGCCAGTAGGCTAGTGCTGTGGGGAATTGGGAACTCTGTCTTTACAGCTCAGAATTGCCAAGAAAAAGGACCCTCTGCTCCGGGAGTTCCAGGAGGGGCCCCTGCTCTTCCCACCCACGTACAAGTTTGACATAGACTCCAACAACTACGACACCAGGTGAGAAGGAGTGGCAGGTGGGGTGGGCCTAGGAAGGAGGTTGCGCAGCTCTGGCAGTGGCAGAATCACACTTCAGCTGTCTCCTGGGAAATGGTCCCTCTGGCTCCTCCCCAGCTCATTTTCTTAGTGGGAAGGAAGGTGGGTGTTAGCAGTGCATGGGATGGGACAGAGAGAGCAGAGGAAGGGACAGAGGTAGCTGAGGCCCACCCCCCCAAGAACAGACTGCATGTCAGTGTTTGGAAGCCCTGGTTCCGCCCAGTTTCTACAGCCTTCTGCTTCCCATAGTTTGGCTCAACAAATTGTTGGCATGCCATGCCCCTGCTGCAGCCCTTGAATGGGTGGAGTCCCATGAGAGGAGGGGAGGAAGTAGTTGCAGTGGAGAATTCCATGGGGAACAGCACAAAGTCTGTGCATCTAGCGGTTAGAACAGCAGCTCTGCCTCTCCTCAGTTGTGCAACCTTGGGCAATGTGTTTAAACTTCACTTTTGTCATCTGTACAAAGGATGGAGAGCAGACCCCATGCCTGTCGCTCAGGAAGCACACCACTGGGCCTGGGGCGTGGTTTTAGATTTGTGTCTTCAGGCAGTAGTTTTATCAAATCCCTTTCTAATTTGCTGAGAGGAGTCCATCCCTGAGGCTCCAGCAACAGGTGCTTGACCCCATCTCTGTTGAAGATCCTATTCTGAGGAAGGATGAGTCCCTTATACAGCTTGTTATGTTTCACCTATAGCAGCAGCTTCTTTCCTTGTATCAGGGCTATTAGAAAGGTAGGAATTGAGGGGAGGGGGACAGAGAAGAGGGAATCTCAGCTCCTGGGAATTAAGAGGTGAACAGAATCTCCACAGGCAAGCCAGAGCAAAAAGTGAAACCATAGCTCAGTTCTGGAAATAATGTGGCAGGGGCAAAACGCAGCAGCCAAGGAAAGGGGGAGAAGGTGATAATGTAGCAAGACATGGTGGGGCCATGGCCAGGGCAGTCCACAGAAGGAAGAGGCCATGAACACTGCAGACAGAGCCCAGGCTGGCAACACAGGAAAGGAGGGAAGAGGGCAGACCCCAGCTGGCTGACTGGCCCTTGTCCACAGCTGCATGGCCTCCGCAGGACAGGCTGGTGTCTAGGCTGAGATCTCCACCAGCTCACTTCAGACCCTCTCTTGCCAGTGGGAGGACATAGGCCATGTGGCCAGGTGTCTCTGCCCCTAGGGGAGGCAGGAAGGGGATCCCACCAGAGTCCTTGGAGGACACTGGGGCTGGGTTGCCACTGACAGAATAGAGGCTCAGAGATATTGGAGGACCGCTGGTGGTGGGGCTGGGGTTTGGACCCGGCTCTCTGCATTCTGCAGTGCTTGCAGCCCAGACCACCTAGGAATCCACAGCCAGTCTGGCTGTCAGAAAGGAAGGCTGGGCATGGTAGCAGATGCTTACTCTGGAGGAAACAGATGCTCAAAATAGCTCCCTGTCATTGACATGATTGAGCACCTGCCATGTGCCATGCCTTGTACAAAGGGCTTTGCATGTGTCACTCACTCAGTTCACAGCCTATCCTCATTCTGTGGGTGCTGTCATTACTGATGTCTGAGAAATGAGGAAATTGAGTCTCAGGGAATATCCCTAAGTCAGGTAGGGACAGATTCAGTGATCAAGCAAAAATGTGAACTCAGACCCATGTGCATTCAGTGCTCCTACCCCCTGCCCAGGAAATGGAGGAGTGTTGGGTAAGACCAGGGGACATTACAAGGAATATCCTAACAGCAGTTCCTCACTGATTGACAGGTCCTGTAGCGGGCAGAGCCTGAGTCCACGTGCAACAGGGACACTGCTGCCTAGTTAAACTCTTATGCCTTCTCCAGCTCAGCTCAGACACTGTCCCTCCTGGTCGTCCCTCATCAGCCTGAGAGGCCCTCTTGGGCCCCATGCTGCCCCTGCACTGGTCAGTGATGCTGTTAGGACACAGAGTCCCTTTCTTGGTGTGCTGTGAATGGCCGGAGTGGAGACTGGAGCTGATTCATGACTGGCGCTGGTGTGTGTTTGAATTGAGAGCCCGAGAGGACAAAAGGGAATGACATGGTGCTTTCTGAGCAGTCAGTCTAGCAGAGGGGCCTTCCCAAGGGCAGGGATCACATGACCACTGCCGGGTCCCTACATAATACAGGACCTTGGAGCAGAGGGTAAGGAGGTGAGTAGCTGATGACAGCAAGGGTTGGTGAGGCTCATTGTCAAGAGGAATATCTCAGGGGAAGCAGTAGAGTTAGGTGCAAAGACAGGCATTTCCATCTAACAGCAGCATGGTGAGAATCAGCCTCAGTGGGCTGGCCCCAGCACACAAAGTACCAGGGTTGGGGTGGCTGTTGGTGTACAGGTATAGCATGCAGCCAAGGGCAGGCGAGAGACCTGTCAGAATCCTTATAATGAACGCAGTCTCTATGTAGGCAGCGAGTAGAGGAGATTATGATCAAATCTGGTCAACAGTGGTTGCAGTTGAATGAGATGTTTGGCATTCTATAGGGAGCTGAAGGGAAAAGTGCTTTTGGAGCCAGAAGTTCAGCACATCACCACTTTGGAGTAAATAACCTGGCTCCTTTTTACTTACTTTTATTTGAAAGGCAGACATGGATCAGTAGACAACAAGAAAACTTTGTTCCATTTGCTAGTTCACTCCCCAAATTCCTAGAGACACTCAGGTGTATGCTAGGCCCGAATGAGAAAAATGGAAAAAGAGAAAAAGTGCCTCACATGGCAGGGACCCAAGTGCTGGAGCCATTATCTGCCTCCCAGGGTCTACGTTAGCAGGAAAGCTGGGTGAGAAGTAGAGGAGTCTTAAACTGTTCACTCCCGTGCTGCATTACAATAGCCCACCAGCATTGGTACCTATCACAGCACTTAGTAGTGCCCAAAGGGACCCAAATTTTAGCTGCTGTCATTACAGATATAGAAGAGCATGGAAAGCATGGAAGTAACATTATTAGAAAGTCAAATATACAGTGAGGAAGATCTTCCATCTGCTGATTAACTCCCCAAGTGGCCACAATGGTCAGAGGTGACCTGATCTGAGGCCAGAAGCCAGGAACCTCTTCTGGGTCTCCCACATAGGTCCAGAGTCCCAAGGTTTTGAGCTGTTCCCTACTGCTTTCCCAGGACTCAAGTAAGGAACTGGATGCGAAGCGGGGCTGCTAGGATTAGAACCAGCATCCATATGGGATCCTGGAGCATTCAAGGCAAGGACTTTAGCCACTAGGCTAACATGCCAGGCCCAGAAGTAGCATTTTTATGTTTGTTTTACTTATTTACTCATGTGCTTTTTAGTCCTATTGATTATGTCTCCAATTGTCTGGCATGTAAGAAAGAAAAAGATGTAAGAAAAGAAAACCTTGATGGGAAGGAAAGACTGGCTGTAATCAGGACTAAGGGAGATCTTGATGTGACAGCAAATCTGGCCTCTTTTTTTAATTATTATTATTTATTTTAGTTGGAAAGGCAGATTTTACAGAGAGGAGAGAGAGAAAGATTTTCCATCCACTGGTTCATTCCCCAAATTTGTCAGAACTGAACTGATCTGAAGCCAGGAGCCTTTTCCAGGTCTCCCATGTAGGTACAGGATCCCAAAGCAGGATCCCTACTGTTTTCCCAGGCCACAAGCAGGGAAGTGGAACCACTGGGACATGATTGCAGGTGGAAGATTAGCCAGTTGAACTATTGCATCAGGCCTAAGTCTGGGCTCTTTGACATGATAAGTAAGTTTGGAAGCTAGGGTGCTTGGAAAAGGGGTGTGTTGATGTGGTACTGATGGAACCTCCTGTTCAGTGGATTCAGGGACCCCTTGTCTGCAGACTCTAGAATAAGAATGACACATTTCACACCCTCCTGAAAGGTGCAGGGTTGGAAACAACCCAAAGAGTCAGCAAGCAGACCAGTTACTGCTTCTTGGCCACTCCCTTGACACACCCTTATTGCTTTAATCCTCACCATGGCTCTGTGAAGTCAGTCCTGGTATCATTTCATCTCACATTGGCAGAGAGAGAGGTTCAGAGAGGCGAGGTCATTGCCAAGGGGCCCTGGCTGTTAATGACCAGGCCAGAACCTGTCCCCACTTGGGCTCTGATGCTAGTCTCAGTTCACCACCATGACACCATTCTCCTCACCCACCAGTATCCTGCTTGGTTGCCTAAGTGACAGTAGTGCCTTCAGCAGGCACTGAGTAAGGTGGAAGGCAAAAGTAGCATTTTGCATGGGAGACAAGGGCGTGAGACTTGAGTGCAGTAAGTTTCAGCGGGCATTTTCAAGGGGAGAGATTGAGCTTAGGGCTTATTCATTCCTTTGGGCTGTTATTGAGTGTGTGTGTGCCAGGATCTTTGCTAGCACTGGAGACACACAGATAACAAAAGAACCTACCTTGGCCCGACAGCTCACGTACTAACTGATGTGCTGACTGAGGAACAGAAAATTACAGTGTGACACCTCTGTATAAGGGCCGGTGTGAAATGCACCCGAAGCAGAAAGTGCAGTCAGGGATGACTTCCTGACCAACATGCTCTCCCTGGCGAGAAAGTGTTTTGGGCAGCAGAACCTGCAGAAGCAAAGCTGCCAGGGAGGGCGGGTGTGGGCAAGACAGGTCTCCCAGTGAGTAGAGCATGCCAGGGCAGCCTGACACTCTGCCTGGGGCTCCAGCCTTCATTCTGGAAACAGAAGATTCTCTGAAGATTTTAGAGAATTGTATAATCTAGGGCTCTACTACTATGCACTCAAAAAAGAGGAACTCACAAACCTAACTGGACTCTGCTCCTGTGCAGATACAGGATTCCAAGCTGTTTTGTCTCCACTGGGAGGGTAGGACGTGGAGGCTGCTTTGGCAGGACTGGGTTAGGGATCAGACTTGCTTGTCCTCAGCAAATTCAGTTACCTCTAAGAAGAAACACTGTCCCTAGGGGCCCTGTGGCCTCTCGCACTTCTGGAAAAGGAAGAATGGGACATCTTCCAGGTGACTTTTGGAAACAGTGGCTGATGTTGGCAGTGGCAAACATCAACTGTACTAGACAGGTTACATGCCTGAGCCCCTCTCAGCAGCCCTGTGAAGCAACTGTCACGATCCCCGTTTTACCGTGGAGACGAGGAGGAGGTGTAAGAGGTGGTTAGGAGCATGTGTTCTGTGGCCGAGCTGCCTGGCCTTAAACTCTGACACTGAGGGTTGTGTGGTATTTGAAGAGTTTCTCCACATATAGAGAAGGAATGGCCATGGTTGCTGACCCCAGGCGTGAAATAAGCCCCCTCTTCCCAGGAACCAGCTGTCTTTTCCTGAGGTCAAACCTTTAGTAAACAGGAAACCAGATCCAAACTGAGATGGTATGTATTTTTTTTAATTGGAAAAGTAGGTCAGATTTACAGGGAGAAGAAGAGACAAAGATCTTCCATCCACTGTTTCATTCCCCAAATGGCCACAGTGGCTGGAGTGGAACCAATCTGAAGCCAGGATCCAGGAGCTTCTTCCTGGTCTTCCATGTGGGTGCAGGGTCCCAAGATTTTGGACTGTCTGTTGTTTTCCCAGGCTGTAAGCAGGGAACTGGATGGGAAGTGGAGCAGCCAGGACACAAACTGGTGTTCCTATGGGAACCTAGTATGTGCAAGGCCAGGATTTAGCTGTAGTGTGGAGGCCTGAGATGGGCCCAGACTAAACTGCATGATCTAAGTCTTACGTTGATTGATCTACTATTCCTTTTGTTCAAGAAGAGCTTTCAATGAAATATTTCTGAGCTACAGTTTCATTCAGTGAAATGTGGGCTAGACAGAGGGTCCTTGCTAAGTCTAATGAAAACCAACTGGTGGGCACCCCCCAGCTCTGGCCTGGGGTCTTTTGACTGCTGACAGACGCTGGAGTTAGTGGTCCTGGCAAGCCCAGGAAAGTAGACTCCTGCTTTCATGCCCTTTCTTGCCCCATCCCCATTCTTCCTCTTCCCTTAGTGAGAAAAGACGGAAGCCTGCCTGGACCGACCGTATATTATGGAGACTGAAGCGGCAACCCCAGGCCATCCCCCACATCTCCGGCCTGCCAGCCTACTTCACCCTGACCCTGAAGAGCTATAACAGCCACATGATGTACAGCATTAGTGACCACAAGCCGGTCACTGGCACCTTCGACTTGGAGGTGAACTTGGTGGAGGAGCAGCTAGTGCTGGGCCACCTCCCCAACCCTGCAGGCCTGGATTCTGATGTCAGCCAATCCCCCTGGGGGTACCTGTAGGAGGACTTGATTGCCGCTCCTCCCAGGTCAGGTATCCTGGCTCTCCTTAGGAGCTGTTGATGGCTCTGTCACAAACGTGTGCAGGCCCTTTGTTTCTTGGTTTCCATTTCCTCTTGGTACTCTCCCTGGGGGCTGGTGACTTCCATTACATTTATTACCTGCCGTGTGAAGCTGAGCTGGCTTTTCTTTGTCCCAGCTCCCCTGTGGCTCGAGTTGCAGAGGAAGCTGCCTCCATCCTTGCATCTTGTCCTCTGCTGACCAGGGTTGTGGCGGGTGGGGGGGCCCTCGGCCTGCATGGTTTTATTCTGCGCTCTCTGCTCTCCATCCATGTGCCTTCCTGTGTTCCCACACATCACCCCCCCCAAAAAATGGTCATGGGACCCTGAGTCTGAAGCCCTACAGGCCTGAGAGCAGCTACCTGTTTCCTTCTTTTAACCTGTAGCCTTTGTCATATTCCCAGCCCTCACCTGGCTCTCAGCCCCCTGATTCCTGGCCAGGCCAGCCAGCCACTGCGCCTGAAAACCCTGTCTCCTTTGTGCTGGCCAGCCCAGGTCAGCTAAGGCAATCTGTTGGGCTCTCGCACCCACCCCGGGGGCTCCCTGCTCTATTCGAGGAGTTGGTATTTTGGGGTTTCAATTCCCTGCCTGCCCCCGGTCTTCCTGGTCTCTTCCATGTGGGTGCAGGGTCCCAAGGCTTTGGACTATCTGTTGCTTTCCCAGGCCATAAGCAGGGAACTGGATGGGAAGTGGAGCAGCCAGGACACAAACTGGTGTCCCTTTGTATGTAGCTGAAGCCGTTGGTGTCTGCCCCCTTGATCACTCTGATGCCGGAGAGCCTGTGGACCATCGAGAATGACATGCTGATCAGCTATTCCTCAGACCCAGACTTCCTCAGCAGCCCTTGGGACTGGATCGGACTGTACAAGGTGACATGGCGGGCTGGGTGGCAGGTCAGCAGGCCACACAGCCTCAAGTCTGTCCCCTGGGGTGTGGAGCTACAGGGCCTGGGCATAGATACCCACCCAGGAGCTCACTGTCAGCTGCCTGGGTGCAGGGGTTGATCCAGAGGGGCTGACAGAACCAGGTGAGATTACTGACCACCCAATTGCCTTCCACAGCTGGGGATGCGCCACATTAATGACTATGTGTCCTATGTGTGGGTCGGGGACAACCAGGTCTCCTTCAGCAACAACCACCACCAGGTATGTGGACTGGCTTGGCAGGAACAGAGCACTGGCTAATGAGACCCTGAGCCCTGGAGCTGACCTCTTGGCCCTCCTACCTCCCCTTTAGGTGTACATGAACCTCAGCGACATCCCTGAGTCTAAGGACTCCTTTCTCCTCTGCTACTACAGCAACATTCTGAATTCGGTAGCAGGGATTAGCACACCCTTCAAGGTACAGGATACCCCAGAGGCATTGAAATCGTGGGTGCCTGAGAGGCCCAGGGCAGGGCCTACTGTTCCCCCATTCTGCCCTCTCCCCTGTGTTGTCCCCACAGATCCCACTTCGCTTCTTTTTGAAGGAGGACACACTGGCTGATGACAGCCCAGAGATCTCTGAGCATCAGTGAGAGCTGGCGGCTCCTACCCACGGGCATGTTGGGGCCAGGCCGAGCCAGTGAGGTGGCAGCCGAGCAACCTCCATGTACCCACCTCCCAAATGAGCTCTAGCAGACCTCTTTGTTCTCTCTGGTCCAGATCTCTGGAATGTACCACTTACTTATAGGTTTTTGTTGCTAAGGTGTTAGTAAAACCAGCTAGCTCGTCCCCGTGAAGACATGGGACAACCTACCCTTGGTGGGAAGGACCCTCTCGCTCTCATTCCATTTCGTAATTTCTCCCCCACACACTTGCAGCACTGCCAGGCCCTTACCCCAGCTGGCACAGGCCTGCATTCCTGTCACACCCTGCTGGGCCTCCGGCTGCCTGGGTGGGAGAGATGTGCCCAGCCGCGATAGAGTCCGGGAACCTTGGTATCCCATGGCTTGTGCCCGTGAGAGCTCAGCAGAGGCCTCAACAGAAGCTGCCTGGCTAAGTGGAGGGGGTCCTCTGCCTAGGCTATCTCCTATCAGCACAGTCTTGCCCCCTGCCTGCTGCAGGGAAGCTGACCCAGAAGTTACAGGGCCTGAGTAGAGAAAAGTAGGAAGGCCCCAGTCAATTTGTGTTGGAGACCCAGCTACCAACCTGCTCTCTCGGGAAGGGTTCCCAAGTGGTGGGGGCGGGGCAGCCCCCGCAGTTTCCCAGGGTGCTCACTGCCATGTCAAGCTCATCGACCCCCACCCTTGCCAGACCATATTGATCAAAAGCTGCTCCTTTCTCTGGGCCCCTTTGGATGTGGAGGTGGGGACAGGCAATGGGGAGAACCAGGATGTAGCCGTTTTGGGGGCTCTGGTCTTAGGGCCTTTCAGAGAGTATTTTCTAGGTGCTTTGTGGACACTCCTGCCGCTTGCCTCGTGCCAGTGGCAACTCAGCTGCCCTCGGCCCAGAAGATACCTCAGGGAGCCTACTCTGCCTGCCATGCCCATGCTGCGACCACAGGCTGAGGGTCCTTTCTCTGCATCCCCTCCTGCTGGGAATCTTATGTATGAAGAATGTCCCCTAGCTGCTCGCAGATGCTGGTTGGCTGTGTTCTCTCTGTTGGGGGGGGGCGGGCAATTAGAAGTGTGGCTTTGACACTTGTGTGTGCTTCCTTAATGTTGGGGAGAAGGGCAGAAGGCCCATGCCAGTGGGCATGGGATGCCTTGCTCCACTGCAAGGCCCAATGGATCCAGACTAGACTTCCTGGGTCTGAGGCTGCCAGGTGGGGCTGGGGTGGGGCTCTGGGTTGGGCCTCTCCTTCCGGTCCTGCTTAGCTGCTGAGTACAGTGGGCGTCTTGGCACTGACAGCTCCAAGCAGGTGCTCTCTGTACCACTCGGCTCTGCAGCTGGGCCCTGGGGTAATCCATCCACAACTGGCCCACCTTCCCTCTGCCCCGCCATGCCACAGAAAATGATTTATTTCCCCATACACACACAAACACACATACACACACACCAGCCATCCTCCGACAACCCAAAATGCCCTTCCATGCCTCTCTTACTTCCTCTCATGGGTACGACACCTGGCACCCCTCATTTGGCAGCTGGGGAACCTGAGGCTCAGAGCAATGGTGTGATGCACCCCACAGCTTCCTGAGTGGTGTGGCTTCACATGGGACCAGTGACCCAGGAGTGCCGTGTCTGGAGGCCTGTGCTGGAATCCTGGTTCTGTCCTACGCTGCTCACGGGTGTTTGAGAAGAGGACAGCTTCCAGCCCACAGGCACTCTGCCCACCTCTCCATCGCAGTTCCTGTGACCCTGGGACTGGAGCTGTACCCCCCCACTCCAGGCGGCCCCCCTGCCGTTTTCTCTGCCTCTTCACCCCTGCCCCCACTTCCTGGTGGAAGGGCCCCTCCTTGCCTGGGAGGGGTGAGACCAGGAGGGGTAGAGAGACGGAAAGGGGAAGGGGAATGCCCGCCCTCCCTTTTGGCCCCAGTCAGGATATGGCCGCTCTGGACCCACCCCGACCCGCTGGGTGGAAACAGGAAATATGTGAGACTCGCTGTGTGCTCGGTCTCCACGCCTGGCTCCACGGCTGATAAGGGCCATTGTGTGGCCGCCTGGGATGAGCTGCACTGGATAGATGTGCTTCCCGGAGGAAGGAAGCCTGGCTGGGCTTTCCTGGGCGGGGGAAGCTGAGGAGGGAGGTGAGGGTCCCTGGGTGGCAGCACAGGCGGGCGCCCCAGGTCACTGGTAGCCTCTCCTGTGCCAGCCTATTTCCCCCAGTCACTTCCCTATTCTCACTTCCTACAAGGAATGGCTGGAGCCAGAGGACTCAGGCCCAGGCCAGGAAAATGTCAGCTGTGATTTAGCAACAAGGAAGACAAACAGGAACACTGGGGGGCAGAAGGGGCGGGGGTACCTAAGGGGACTATCGGCAAGCAGGGAGAGGGGAGAGAACTGGGTTCAGTGTGGTATACACCCAAGGGGCTCTGAGACAAATCTCCCAGGCTTTGGAGGCTCCAGAGGATGGGGCAGGGCCTCCTCATGGTGCCCCCTACCCACCTCTCTTAACAACCCTTTTGCCCAGGATGGCCAGCCCATGGCAGCCCTGGCTGCCAAAATTCATGGGGCTGACCTGCTGTCCCCCAGAGACAGGCAGCAAGCTCCTGGGAACGTCAGAGGGACAGCTTCTAGCAGGAGAGCCTCTTGGCTCAGGGCAAGAATGGTCACTGTACCCTCCTCCAGCCAATGCTACAGAGTGGGCAGTGGGGAGAGGCCCGGCCATGGCACTGCCTCCAGTCCTGCGCCTTGGAGCCCAGGGTCCCCCAGGGGTGACTACATCAGCTCCTCTGGCTACCTGGGACAAGAGGCATTTCCTCCATTCCCTCAGCCCCTCCTCTTCCTGCCCCGGGCCAAGAGGCCTTCCAATCAGACCTGCACTGCCCCAGCTGTGTCCTGAGGCACTGGACCAGCCACATCCCCTGGGGCTGGAGCTGAACCAGAACCTAGTGACCATCCCGGCCTCAGCCCATAGACTCCTGGCTCCCCGAGCGGCCAACGCAGGGTGGGCAGCGACAGCCCCGGGGCAGGATGGCGCTGCAAGTGGAGCTCATCCCCACGGGGGAGATCATCCGTGTGGTTCACCCCCACCGGCCCTGCAAGCTGGTAAGTGGCATACTGCAGGTGGGGAGGAAAGGGAGGCGTGTCACCTTGTAATCTGTGCCAGGCAGCCCTCTCCGGGAAGAAGTACTGTAAGGAGTGCTGTGGGTCCTCTGGGGTAGAAACCAAGCAGGCAGGGAGTACCTGAAGAAGAAAAGGCCCTAAGTATTGGGAATTAGGGCCGGTAGAGCAGAGAATTGGATATGAATCCCATCTCCTGCTCCCTGGGGAAGGAACTAGGCAGGACATGCTACTGGGGGCAAAGGACTAGTGCATCCATTGCTGCACGGCAGGGCATGGTACAGGCTCAGTTAATGCCACCCCCCCCCCCTTATCGTCGGAGAGATGGGGGAAGGGAGGAGAGCTAGTTAGCTCAGCAGAAGAACCTTTGTAGCCTGCAAACAAGACTGCAGGAGTCTGGCTTACTGTGGGGATAAGGATGGAAAGACCCCAATGGGGGTGCCCACCCACTCACACTGCATGGGGGAGGGGCTGTTTTTTTTAGTGTCAGAGATAGTTTTGTGTGTATGTGTGACGCGCCTTGTTCCAGGACCTTTTCATGAGCGCGGGAACACCAGTCTCCCCGGGGCCGGAGCAGGGGCCAGGCCCGGGCCGGGGCGGGGCTGGAGGACTCGCGCGCGCGCGCGCCGGAGCCTGGGCCCTGCCTGGGATGACGACAGGCTGCGGCCCGGCCCCCGGCTGGTCCTGGGCGGGGAGAGCGTGCGGGTCCCGCGGACTACCGAGCTGACCACGCCACCCAGCCCGGCCCACGCCAGCGCACCCGAAGAGCCGAGCTGGTGGGTACGCTGGGCAGAACGCAAGGTGGGAAGCGGCCGCGTGGCTCCGGGAGGCCTGTGCTGGCGGCGGGGTTACAGGAAGAAAGCGGGAGGCTGGGCGCCGAGACAGCGTGCAGGAGGCGAGGGGTCGCCAGCCGGGGAATGGTGGCACCCACGATCAAGTCAGCTTGCTTCGTGTGGGAGTCCTAGGTCCACGGAGGCGCGGGAAGTCAACCTGGTGGGGACTTAGATGACTTGCGGGTAACGTGAGGACGCGGAAGAGAGAGGCTTGGAACCGGGGGCCCGGGCACCCAGCGCGCCCTTTGGGCCCCTCCCGCAGCCCTGCTCAGCGCCTCTTGGTTCCGGAGTCGCCGCCGAGTCCCGCCCCTTCCCGTTCTCCGCCCCCCGGGGCTCGGGCCGCGCTAGTGGCCCCTGCGTGCTCGGCGGTTCGCGTGTGTGGTGGGTGGGGGCTTGGAGATGAAAGAGCTAGTGAAAGGTGGCTCCCGGCAAACTCCAGCCTCCAGCTGCCGGCTCTGAGATTCATTTCATTCATTCACGCCGGCGTCCAGGAGGGAGTCGCGAAGTCTCCCTCCCCTGCAGCCCCCCCCCCCGCCAGGGTGTGCGTCTGGGGCAGGCTGACAAGGACACAGACCATTAGTGCTAGATGTGATAAGCTGGGGTTTGCGTGTTGGTGACTTCAAGAAGGGGTTCTGTAGGAGGTGATACCTGATCCGATTCTTCCAGGATGACTTAAGAGTAGGTGAGGTGGACTGGGAGGGTGTCAGCCACGCCCCAGCAGCTGCAGGTGCAGAAGTGTGAAGGCTTAAGGAGGGAGCCCCATGTGGCTGCTGCCAAGGACACGGCAGCGCCTCCTAGTTGTGTGTGGCTGGGGAGAGAAGAGGCTGGAATGCAAGGGGTAGTTGAGTTCAACCTGAGACCCACTGGGGCCTGAGGGGAAGCCACTGCTGTGAACCACAGGCTTGGCACATGGAGAGTGCCCCACGAACATGGAACATGAGGTGTAGCATTTGTAAACAGCACTGGCTGCTGTGGATGGATGCGTGATCAAGGAGGAGACTGCAAAAGAGTGGTGGTAACCGCTGGTGTGAGGCACGTGGTGAGCGCCTGGAGGGGCTGCCCCCTCTGCACAGAGGGTACTGAGTGGACCAGGGGGATAGGGTAGGAGGAAGGGTGGACCCCTGGCTGAGATGTGGAGGTAGTCAAATGTTGGAGATGTTGGGGAGCCAGTGCACAGCCCTTGATGGGGACCCTGTGAGCAACGGGGTAGAGCCCCAAGCCACCCCTTTCCTCCCCATGTCTCCCCCCAGTTCCCTGGAGTCTGGTAGGGCAGCCTGGCCCCAGGCCTAAGACTGGTCTGCTGAATGGATAAATCTGAGCACCTGCTATGTATGCAGCACTGCGCTGCCAGGGGAGCAGGCTGTGTGTGTCTGTCCCCAGCCAGGCTGCGTGGAAATCCGCCTGTAAGCAGCGACAGGGGTGCTGGGGAATATCTGCCCCCTCGCCGCAGGTCATGTTTCGCACCCCCCACACCCACACACATCCAGTGCTAAAGGGCATCAGATGGCCCACTTCAGTCAGGCCCTTTCTATACCCTGTGCCTCTAATAAACACCTCAGAGACTGGCCACACTGGGGAGCCTGACCCGTCCTAGCTGCTGCCCCTAAGGGCTACAGTATCCCGACTGGGGAAGCGGGGACCGCTCTGCGGGGGTGGGGATTCCAACCCCACTCCCCCATTTGTCTTTCCACCTTCCACAAGACATTTCCTCCACCGAGTCCCGAGAGCTCCCACTTCTAAAACCGAGTTGAGAACAGCATCCTCGGGCCGCCGCGACTTTAGAAAGCGCCGAGAGGGCATTGAGCGCCGTTGCTTCTCACACCCGGGGCTCCCCTTCCTCCCTGCTCCCGCGGACGCGCGCTTCGGTCCAGAGTCGCCCAGCTGGCGCGGGGGGCGAGGGCCGGGGCCGCCCCTGGCGGCGGAGACGCCCCCTCCTTCCGCCGCCGGGCGGTGGCTGCGGGGGCGCCACCGGGCATCCTGGGAATGCGGCGACGCAGCTCGGGCCCGGGGGAAGCCGGCCCGACCCCTCCGCAAGCGGATTCCCCTCATTCCAGGCGCTTGACGCGGCGGCGGGCCGGGCGGGCACTGCGGGCGTGAAGCTCCGCCCCGCCCCTCCTCCGCGGGGCAGGGTTCCTGGGG